ATTAAAACTACTTTATAGCAAATTGTTTTAATAGTCTAAATTACCATTATGCTAATTATCAAATGCTAATAGTTATAATTTTAAGTGATTTGAAACAGATCTGTTTCTACATAAATACAATCTGAAGTAGACACACAACATCTTCAATGTGACAGTATTTAGAGATATGGTCAGTGAGTGGTGGTCACAACAGAAAACTTAACTTTCTTTTGTTGTTTTTTTTTTTTTTTGAGACAGGGTCTCTCTACGTAGCCCAGGCATGCCTCAAACTCGGGATCTTCCTGCCTCCCTCCTGAATGCTGGGATTGTGGATATGTACCAACATGCCCAAAAGAAAAGAAAACTTTTAACTTTAAAATTACAAATCAAGGCTGGTCATGGTAGCTTAAGCCTGTAATCCTAGCTACTTGGGAGGCTGAGACTAGGAGGATTACACTTTAAAGCCAGCCTGAGGAAAATGTTCTTCAGACCCCACCTCAACCAATAGCTGGGTGTGGTGGTGTGTGTCTGTCAACCCAGCTACACAGGAAACACAAATAGGAGGATTGAGGTGCAAGCTGGCCCTGGCATAAAGTGAGATCTTGTTTCAAAAATAAGCAACACAAAAAGGGCTGGTAGAGTATCCCAGTGGTAGAGAGCCTACTTAGTAAGCACAAGGCCCTGAGTTCAATCTCCAGTATGATCAAAACACAAACCAACAACAAAAAACCCCCCAAATCATATCTAGGTGTGATAGTTCATATCTTGGGAGGATGAAGCAGGATAGCCTATGCTATATATTGAGACCCTGTCTCCAAAAAAAAATCCAAACCAAACCAACAAAATCTCCAAATTATGTATGTGCCTGGTAGATAGGGTTACCAGTTCTTAGCTTGATTAAATTACAGGTTTAAATAAAAAGTTGACTGAGCCCAAGTCTCTGCTTCTAAAATATAAAATATGTATAATTCATATATATTTATAGAATTTAATTTATAATTTAATAAGTTGTCATTTATTGAAATTACTCAAGTGTTTGCTAAAGTAGAAATTTACTAAATGTCCTTTGCCTTGATGGTATCTTAATATTTTACAGCACATGTGTTACTTCTAACCTAATTAGAGTTAGATTAAAACATCACAGAATGATTACATATTACTCTGCACTTAAAAGCACACCTGTTTTGATACCTTAAAAGCAACTGAGACCAATAGGAGAAGGGGACCAGGAACTAGAGAAAAGGTTAGATTAAAAAGAATTAACCTAGAAGGTAACACACACGCACAGGAAATCAATGTGAGTCAACTCCCTGTATAGCTATCCTTATCTCAACCAGCAAAAACCCTTGTTCCTTCCTATTATTGCTTATACTCTCTCTTCAACAAAATTAGAAATAAGGGCAAAATAGTTTCTGCTGGGTATTGAGGGGGTGGGGGGGAAAGGGAGGGGGTGGGGGCAGGAGGGAGAAATGACCCAAGCCTTGTATGCACATATAAATAATAAAACAAACAAACAAAAAGCACACCTGTTTTATTTACAAGAATTAAAACCTTGTAAAAATTAGCTTCAAAATCTATTTTTGTTCGTGAGATCGATTCTGTTTAATGGCTGTCTGTAAACTGCCATTGTCTTGATGGGACGAGGGTGCACTAGTGTACATGTTTGTGTGAGGAGTGTGACAGAAAGCCGGGCGCCGGGGGGAGGAATGTGGATGGGCAGAGGTACCTTCTGGCTTCTGGCTATATCATAAACACCAAGATTTTACATTGGTATTGGTAATGAAAACATCACCTCTAAAAAGCGTCTTTCGGTGAGAGGCATGTCCAGGATACAAATGCCTTGTGCCGTGGAGAATCAGAGAATCACACAAATTTAGAGCTGCTGGGGGCCTACCCTCTTATTTTACCAATGAAAGATGAAGGCGCAGAAAATTACATGCTGTGTCAATGCTACACAGACCTATCTGTCCGAACTCCCAGAGCAAAGGACCTAACTACCACTTTTTAAAGACCTTTGGTCTTCTTTTAAAACAAGAATGGCCTTGTTCAGTTAATCATTTTAATAGAAAACAAACACATACCCAGCACATTAAGTTGTAAGTGAAAGTTGAAAGTTTTTATCTTTATTTCTAACTACATGCATTAAAAATCTGTATCTTGTGCTGGTGGAGTGGTTCAGGTGTTAGAGTTCCTGCCAAAGAAATGTGAGGTCCTAAGTGCAAGCCCCAGTACTGTCCAACTCTCAATCTGTATCGTTATGATTAAACTAACACCTGATATTCACGCCTTAATTTGTTTTGGTGGTACTGGGATTTGAACTCAGGGCCTCATGCTTGCTAGGAAGGTGCTCTACCACTTGAGTCACTCTGCCAGCCCTCCAATTTTTCAAGATATTACTGTTTATGGAATTTTAGGATCACTCCTCTTCTTGTTTGTTTTTTGATGGGATTGGGGTTTGAACTCAGACCTTCATGCTTGCAAAGCAGGTACTGTACTGCTTGAGCCACACCTTCAGTCCAATCATTCCTTTTCTTGAAGCATGTTTTTTGTTTTTGGTGGTACTGGGGTTTGAAATCAGGGCCTCACACTTGCTAGGCAGGCACTCTGCCACTTGAACCACTCCGCAAGCCCTGTTTTGTGTTGAGTATTTTCGAGATAGGGTCTCTTGAACTATTTGCCCAGGGCTGACTTCAAACCGAAATCCTCCTGATCTCTGCCTCCTGAGTAGCTAGGATTATAGCAGTGAGCCACTGGCACCTGGCCTTTGAGGTATGTTCTAATTTAAAAAAAAAAAATGGGTTAAGCAGAATGGGTGAAGTGAAGAGCAAGCATGGGAGACCCTGAGTTCAAACCCCAGTACTGCCCAACCAAAAAAGAAAAAAAAGACTTGGGAGACAGAGACAGGAGGATCTTGAATTTGAGGTCATCAGGGCAAAAAGTTAGTGACACCCTGTCTCAAAAACAACAAAAAAATTAAAACAAGGATTGGTGGTGTAGGTTGAATAGTAGAGTGCTTGTGTGAGGGCCTGGGTTCAATTTCCACTATTGCAAAAAAAAAAAAAAAAAAAGCAAGAAAAACTGCAGGTGGTGGTGGTGGTGGAATTCTGTGCCACTCAAGTTGTACCAAAATCTGGACTGGAAATAATTGTTGATGACAAATGATTAAGAAGGTGCCAACTTTTTGAAAATGTATACTACTATGGCAAGTAAGCTAAAGGAACATAAAACATCTTCAGAATATGAAATTTTAAAAAGTAACTTGTTACTGTTCTGATGTCTTATAGTTTGGAAAATGTGCCATGGGAATGAAGAGCAGTGACATAGCTAACTCAGAAGGAAGAAGATCTACTTCAACCCTGTGTTCCCTAACTGAAAGCTTTGTTTTGCCCTTTTGTTCATCATTTCCCTAATGCCAAGAATTGAAAAAAGCCCCTTGATCACAATTTTTTAGTGATTCAATCTACTTAAAATAATCCTTAAAAAGGGTGATGGTTGGGCATGTGGAATGACTACATTCAAATTTCTCCAGGATTGAAAAAGAGACTAAAGACAGTCCATGCACTTAGTCTTATAGGACTGAGAGCATTCTATGAAGCTCTAAGAACAAACAGTCTGCATTTTGTATAGCCTGTAAAGTGTGCTGAAAAAAAAAAAAGAAAGAAAGAAAAGAGAAGAGTCTGGAGACTCAGATACACGTGTTCTGGAAAGTTTGGGGAAAGCAGCAGAGAAGGAAGAGGTGGAACACAGAGGAACATTCAGGTGGCATCTCTCACCCACGATGGCACAGTGTTGGACAGTAATAAATGAAAAGGCTTGAAAGTTGGCAGGGGTGAGACAAGACCCAGGTGAGCCAGGAATTGTACAAGACTCTAAAGAAAACCCATGGCCACAGAATCCAGCAGGTTTCTGTGAAGAGCCTGAGCAAGACTATTTGCTGAAGGTCAGTTTTACAACAGTCTTACAGTCTGTAAGTGCCACTGAAAGTGGGCACTAGATATGAAGGTGCAACTGTCTTCCATGGGCTGAGAAGTGTCAGGAAACCTGTGCAGTACTGAGGGGAGAGATCTGTACTTGAAAGGGAAAAAAAGCTATAAGCTTGAGGGCTGTGTTCCCTCCCCAACCCCCAATGATACAGGCGCAGCACTGCAAGGTGGCCTGGGTCACCTAGGGACAATTAAGCTGGCAAATGTCATCAGAAGATTATTTTTCTTTATGGTAATATGACAACATGACCGAACCAGAACATTTTTCTAAGGTTAGATGCTTTTTTCTTTCCCCTTCCCAGTGATACCCAGCAACAGATTTGTCTGGGAGGAAGGAGGAAAGGTAAAAGAGAAATGATAGTTTGAATTAATTCTTTTCTTTTTTTGAAACAGAACACACAAAATTTATTATGTGCCTCAGACATGGAATATTAGATTTCTGAAATATTTAAGTGCAAGCAAAAATGGGGAAGATGGTCTTCCTGCCTGAAACCCCATCACTGTTAGAAACACAACTGCAAGCAAAATAGATAATGGAGCCACATGCTGCCTTCTTATTTTCTGCATTCGTGTGCACACTGCATTATATATGGATACACATGTATTATATGTATATATATTTAGGGGATCTAGAGTAGTTTCAGTGGTTTGTTAATAAGAAGGCTTAAGCAGGAAAAAACCCACTATGAACACCAAAAAGAAACCTATCAGTAAAGTTGCCTTTCACTTTTTCTTCCTTTTCCTTGCATCTGTTGTATCATCCTGTTAGAAATGCAAGACATGTAAATCTGAAGAGGCACACTCTTGACAAGATGAAACTAAGAAGACCCCAGCAGTGCACATTCACACTAAGAATGTGAAGTGGCCCAATAAATCCAGTTTTTAAAAGTTCTTGCATAAGTAAGAAATTATCATTCAGATGCTATACTTCCTTAGTAAGTGGATTATCCAAGTAAAAGAATGAGATTCTCTGGAAGTTTACATAGCCATGTTTATAAATGTAATAGACATTTAGAGATGAACAGAGGGTGTTACTGTCTCATTAATAACACTATATGCTGTTGGTGCCAGACAAAAGAATTTCTGGAATATGTTTCTGCAAAATTTGACAATATTTAGGTAATATTTCAGGAGCAGAAAAGAGTTAATGAAACCTTCTTAATTGTAACTAATGGAAACATCACTGTTTTGTGCCTTTTGTCAGACAGGAATAGACAGCTCTGTGCTATTATTATACATGAATTCCTTGTTAGCAAACTGAAAGTATTTTAACCACTCTGCTTCATTTTAAGATGTCTGAGACAAAAGGCATCAAAATTTACAATTACGAATGTGTGTTCGCATGCGCAAATGGGTGTCAAGTTTACTTAGGAAAATATTCCAACATAATTCCAGATTACCTACTGAGGTATTTGCCTTATTTTTTGGTAGAAGACCCAGGATTAAATTAACTGAAAGATAATCTTCCTGCTTTTGTAAGCATTTACAAACCCAGGATGGTTATGATATACTCAGTAGTTCAGGACTTTACAAGTTCCATCCATAGAAATCCATGCATCCTCTATTGCATCCATGTAGGTTACGAATGCCAATACTCTGGAGAAAGTATTTGCAATGAACTGTTCAGACAACACTCCCAATAGGGAGATGAGTTAGCCAGGAGAAACGATAAGAACTCACGAGGTACCAAGGACAGCATTAGAGTTGGCACCAGCTACTCAAGGGCATCATTGAGGATGGTGACTCCTGTTATTTGCCTACTATTTGCTATGTATGGATTTTGCATGGAATTTCCTCTAGCTACCTTTAAAAATAAAATCGTCAATGTTTCATGAGACAGAGCAAATAGAGTCTGCCCTGGAATAAAGGCATAAACCTAGACAACCTTTAAGCTGCCCTTCCTGCACCAATATAACAACATGGAATAAAATGCCAGCATTGCTCAACAGTCCTGGTCACAATGAGAGTGAATTATAATGTGGGAACATAAAGTCATGCCCTGCTCAAACAGCAGCTAGTCAGGAGATTTGATATTGTTTTCAGATATTATGTGGCCAGCTAAAGCAAGATGATCTATGTAAGTCTTTTTCACAAAGTTCAAGCAGATGAATTCTCAATGTAAATTGTCTAAGCAGGGCTGCTCTGATGAAATTGAAAATGTCTCCTCCATATGTGCAGTTTCAGGCCTTAATAACATTTAAAGAAAATGTTCTAAAAGAAAAAGTTGGCATGTAAAAAGCACAGGGAAAGGAATCAGCAATGATCAGAGCAAAACAATTCTAGAAGGCATCTTAATTTTCATATGGCTCATTTGCATTTGAAACACTGAGAATTCCTATCTTGACTGTACAAAAAATATGTACATATTAAATTACTTTGCACTTGAAAGAACATTTTTCCTAAATGTTTGGAAGATGATCAAATTTTAACTGGAGGACTTGTTTTCTTCCATCAGGTGTGGGGGAGATGTAGCTTCCTGGTATGAGAGGCAACAGTTGATTCTAATAGCAGAACAAGACAAAAATAAGAAAGTAAATTGAAAACAATTCCTATAGGTACAATTTGAGTTAAAGGTGGTAAAACAAAAAAAGATACATACAGTACAAAGATGTCAAAAGACATCCATTTTAAAATTATGTTTGGTTACCTTTCCAAAAACTGTGATCCTCTGATACTTGAAAATTAGGTTCTATGAGTTATTCCAGGATTCTCATGGACATACTATTACTTATTTCAATATACTTATTCCTGAATATATAGTCAATATTTGAAAATCAGATATCCACCAGCTATTAAGCAATAACTTCAGGAAGCAACATTCTACCCATAGCAAATTTTTAAAAGCTAGGATATTGGCTGAAGGGCAAAGGCTTGGAACCTCTTGCCTATCAGCTGTATACACTGGCTTTAAAGAAGTTGTTCATCATTCACTCAGAGATCTAGAAGCAGAATCTAGGTAGAAATTTTTTTTTTTTTTTTTTTTTTCGGTGCTGGGGACCGAACTCAGGGCCTTACACTTGCCAGGCAAGTGCTCTTCCACTGAGCTAAATCCCCAACCCCTAGGTAGAAATTTGAGTTTACAAATACACTGAATGAAAAGATCTTTCTGTGATTTTCAGTTTCTTTTCTGATATGGTAAAATTTCTAGGAATGTCAGAAAGATCAGGACTTGAAAGGCATTCCTGTCCTCCTCTTGGCCTTGCTGTTGGTAGGATTTCCTTGTGTAGAGTGGGCTGGGCCTGGTCTCTTGGTGAGTGCTACATGGGGCCCCCACCATGTACAGGTGGAGAAGATGCAGTTTATTCAGGACACCCACCAGAACATGAGGTAATCTTGATAAATGAGATTATCTAGTGCACGTCGCACTTGGTGTCTTTTCCTTCAGTTGTCCCTGGGTGTTTGGAAGTCCTTCTGTAAAGTCCTTGGTTGGTATTGGTCTTGCCCAGGCTAAGGAAGGAGTGGTACCTCTATAAGCCTTAAAGAGTGAGCAGTGCCCCGTCCAGGCCAGTATGAGGATAGATTCCTAAGTAGAAAGTGAATTAGGAGGACAAGGGGGGCAGTGATACTGTTGCCCCTCCCAGGCCTATGGTAGGGATTGGGAGAGGTACCTTTTATACACTAGTCACACTATATTTCAGATGCTGCTTTGGACTTAAGCCCTAATCTTTTTGTTATTGAAGTGGAAGCTGCATTGGGTTTGATTTGCAAAAGATTAACAGTGAAAGATAATAAAAATTTGGATTCCCAGAGATTTGATACACTGAAATAAATTAACATTTTATTTTTCTGATTAATTTGATCTTTCTCTTCCAACTAACTTCTGTTTTAACTATTAGGAGAGCAGAAGAAAAAAAAAGGACTGCTCTTTTCCTTTATGGAAGACATGCTAATGAGCAGATAAATGACCAAAAATTAAAGGTGGAGGATTAAGCAAGCATGAAATGTGACAAGTGTTGGCCTCTGATAAATTGAAAATTACCATCTTGGTTGATTAATAAATAATGCTCACTTATTTGGATATTAAGCACCTTCTACATGTAGGATATGGTTTTAAGTGCTGAGTTTATCAGAAAAAAAAGAACAAGCCTACTTTCATAGAGTTTATGTTTTAACTTCAAAGCCTTCTGAAACCAAGTGAAGGACAGTCCACCTGATAAACTGCAGAATTAATATTTATTACAACAGTATTGTAGTATTGGCTCATTTTAAGATAGGAAATGGTTCCTAGGTGTCTGGTTTCATCCCTTTGTATCTGCTAGAGCTTCTCTTTGGTTTCCAGGAAAAGCCTAGAAAAGGCAGATTTAGCTGCTTCCATGGGTGAAAAAATGGAAGAGTCAGGTTTCCTTTATTGTGTATCATGAGACTAAAGAAAGGGACAGGGATTCTTTTGTAATGGTGGCAAAACTCAATCCTATTGTAATTGAGGTTTTACTATATGAGGTGGTTGTTTTCTGGGCATGTAGTCTAGTGGGTGGCATATCCAATCAACACATGATCAGTTCAAGTATAAGGTGGGTATGTGGTACCCATGCAGTCCCAGCTACTTGGGAGGCTAAGGCAGGAGGGTCACTTGAGCCCAGGAGTTTGGACACCAGCCTGGGCAACACAGTGAGACCCCGACTCAAAAAAAAAAAAGTGTAACTGCAATAAGATTTTGCAACAATTTGGATATTTTCATAGTTCTAGGTTTTATTACATCAATCAAGAATATTTATAAAGATAAATACAACTTAACCAGAACAAAAAAAAAAGTGTTGGTGGTCACCTTGTTTCACTTTGAAAGCAGAAAATGAAAAAAATATCATTTTCATAGCACTAACTTTTGAACAGAGGTACCTGCGGACGCTTTCTGTTTCTTCCCTCATTACGTGCTTTTCTTTTCATTTGATCTTCTCGAAAAGAATCAAAGTAGGTGCTCTCCAAGAGTTGGGCACAAGTTAGTCTGTCATCTGGATTCATCTTCAGACAACCCTTTGGAAGAAGAGAAAAGCAAAACAAATCTTAAGAGAGGGATTTTTGTCACTGTGTCCAAAACTCTGAGTAATAACTTGACAGAGTAAACATGAGTTTAAGACATTGAGGGTCTGTTATCAGGTACTTGGAAATAGCCACAGCTACTTTTCTTTTGCTGCCTCAGACTTTGGAGAATAGAATGATGGGCACTCAGCGTCTCTGGAGGGGCCACATGTAGATCAGGTGTTCCCCTCAAAGACAGCTTTCATCACTGGTTAAAGCAAACCATTTGTATAAGTCTTCAGTGTGGTGTTGCTAGATTACAGGCATCAGCATTACCCAGGAACTAGTTAGAAATGCCAATTCCTGGTTTTACCCCACACCTGCCGAATGGGAAACACTGGGACTGGAGCCCAGCCATATGTGGTTCACAAGCCCTCAGGATGGTTCTGATAGCTACATGCTCAAGCCTGAGAACCACTGGTTTAAGGAGATGGTTGAGGAAGTGCAAACGTCAGTAGCAAGAAAGAACCTCACATGGGGAGAAATGAAATATATTTTCATATAAGGGTAACTAGAGGCTGAAAGGACAAAGTGGCATTAGGATACTTTATTCAAGGCCATTAGAAGCCTCTAGGTTTGCAGCCAAGAGTGTGAGCACTGCAGAGGGGCCAGCGGCAGTCCTGACACAGAAAGTTTTTCTCCAAGAAGCTCTGATATTCTGCCCAGAGCATGGGGCTTTCCCATCAATAAAACAGCTTACAGTCCACAAAGCCTGACACAGCTTTACAATACCTGGCACAGATGACCTGAAATTTCTTACCTTTGTTCCTAAGAGAGAAACATGGAGCTTTCAACATGACCAGTGTTTTAAAGCATTCCCATGTCCAGCCAGTTGCACTGCCTGAGGCTGCCCAGCCATGTAGCGTCTGCTCCTCCCTAACTCCAGCTGAGCTCAGATCTTCGAGCCCCTGAGAATGCTTCCTCTTTCTAAGCAGCATCATTTGCCCTTTGGAGCAGTATCTGCTTACTCCTGTTCTTCCAGAAACAACCTGCTAACACACCCACACTTATTTGTCCTTCTGTGTCTATGATCTGCTCCCTAATTTATTATCCATTCCATATATTAATGCAACAACTGCTTCTGGGAGGCAGTCTCCTCAAATTCTAACATTGTCAGGGCTCTAACCAGGAGAAACAGTTTTGAATACAAAAGTCTCTGTCCTCTCCTCTCCTCTCTCTTCTCTTCTCCTTCATGGGACTGGAATTTGAATACATGTCTTTGCACTTCTAAAGCAGGTGCTCTACCACTTGAGCCACACCTCCAGTCCATTTTGCTCTGGTTATTTTGGAGATGGGGATCTTGAACCACAATCCTCCCAATCTCAGTCTCTCAAGTAGCTAGGATTACAGGTATGAGACACTGGCAGGCAAGCTTCCAGAGCTTTATTTTTTGGTAACAGGATTTGAATTCAGAGCTTAGCATTGGCTAGGCAGGTGCTCTACCATTTGGAGCTACTTTTCCAGCCTTATTTCTTTCTTTCCTTTCTCTCTTTTTGGAATTTTTTTTTTTTTTTGATACAGAGTCTTGCTACTGTAGCCCAGGCTGGCTTTGAACTCTTCATCCTCCTGTCTCAGCCTCCCAAGTGCTGGGAGCATAGGCGTGTGCCACCATGCTAGTCTACCCTATTTCTTTATTACCTTCTGGCTTCTGACTCCATCATTCCACCTATTTGGCTCTAGTTGTTAACACTCATGGGCCTCTAAATCCAGTGGGCATTTTGAGCTCTGGTCTCAATAGTATTAGACACTATTGACCAGGTCCTCCTTAAAACTCTCTGTCTTCTCTGTTACCTCACTTTCTTCCTATCGCCTGACCATTCTTTCCAAGCCAACCTTTTCTAGTTTACTTTCTCCACAATAGTTCAATCCTGACTTTCCCTTTTTCTCATCTAGTTTTAGTTTCTACTGACCTCATTGATGTCCACTGAGCTCATTAACAGATTCAATTATCAAGATTTACCACAATTTCCACATGTATAATTCTATCCCAGATCCTCTGAAGTCCAGACACACATATGCAATTGCCTGCTTAATGTCTCTTCTCAGTCTTAAGGGCAGTTTTATGGGTTGATTTGTACTCCCCACCCCCAATATATGTTGAACTCCTAACTCACAGTACCTCAAAATGTAACCTTATTTAGAAATAAGGTTTGTGCAGGTATAATTATTGAAGATGAGGTCTTAATAGTATAAAGTAGGGCAGCCTTCCTAATCCAATTATGATTGGTGTCCTTATAAGTAGAGGGAAGATAGGCAGAGCAAAGTGGCTCATGCCTGTAATCCTAGCTACTCAGGCGGTAGAGATTGGGAGGATCATGGTTTGGTTTGAGGTCAGCTGGGGAGGAAAGGTTTGTGTGACTGACTCCATTTTAACCAATAAAAGCTGGGCATGGTGGTGTGTGCCTGTCATCTCAGCTACATGGGAAGCATAAATAGGAGTGCAGTCCAGGCTGGCCCAGGCATAAATGAGAGATTCTATTAAAAAAATAGCTATGGCAGAAAGAGTATGGCCATAGATAGCACAATGCTTAGTCACACAGAGAACAGCTGGGTCTTAGGTCAACACTGTGGTCTAAGTCAAGGAGCTGAATAAGAAATCCATCTTTATGTAGGAATCTTGGGCATGTAGAATAGGGCACTTCACATTTGGACATGAGGACTGAGAGCTTGTCCTATATCTTAGTGTTTTTGTGCCCTGGAGTTGCCTTCCAGGAAGTTTTCAGATTACTCTGAGGAATAACCATAGGTTGGGTCCAACTCCAACCTGAGAATGAGTTGGGTTGACCCCTCTCCTCTGGAGCTTTTGCCAAATTGCTGGTGGCTCAGAACAACCTGTCAAGAACAAGGGCAGGGAATTGTGCTTTTAGGTCAGGCAGGGCCTATAGATGCTGGATGAAAGCAGGCTAGAGCAGTGAGGCAGGGCAGACAGCAGCAGAGGATCGGGGGAGCAGTGGAAAGAGCAGTCTTGGATCCATCATCCTGGAGAGCACAATGATAGCGACCAGTACAGAGAACAAATGCTGGTCTACAAAGTTGACTCTGGGTCATATAAATGGTTCCACTGCCTCAATCAAATGGGTCTCAAACTGAGTTGTTTACCATAAATCACCTACAGAGATGTTTTGTGACACTATTCCAAGGTCCCACTCATGGAGGTTCTTCTGTGAATCTAAGGCTAGATATTGGGATCTGTATTTTTTAAAAGCACCCAGATCATTCTGGTGATTAGTCACATTTGGAAACCACTGCTATAGATAGAAATTAACTGACTGTTAAAGACAGTCTGGTTTCCTCATACCCATCCCCCAAAGGCTTTGAGTATCCACGATGTATGAAGTGCTGCACCTTCTACTGTGGCCTCTATTGGTCAGGCATGAATGGAGTTATTCTGTCTTTATTAAAGTTTGTCTTCTGTTTGACAACCTCTCTTAGGCCTCATGTATGGGATAGATCTGGTACCTCCATGCTTCTGACTTTGCCTGGTCTTCTACTAATTTTAGTGGGTATGTTAGAACTGTTACTACATTTAGCTGTGATCATTTTATAGTTCCTTATTATTTTCATGACTGTATCTTATTTTGACATTATTCATTTCACTGTACACCCCTCCTCCCAGAATTACTAGCTTCAACCACTCTAATTTGTAGTCAATAATAGTTATAATTAAATCCAAAGTACCTTCATGAAATTCAAAACCACAGGATGAGCATCTGAGAACTTTTCCTCAAGAGTTTCCTGGAAAACAAAACAAAGAAATGTTACAGCTGGGCATCAGTGGCTCATGCCTGTAATCCTAACTACTCAGGAGGCAGAGATTAGGAGGACTGTGGTTTGAAGTCCTATCTCAAAAAAGCCCATCACAAAAGAGTGGAGTGGCTCAAGGTATAGGCCCCGAGTTCAAACCCAGTACCACAAAAAAAAGTTACATAAAAAAAGAAAGTATATTTTGCACATATGAACAATAACAACACTTTGAAGAAATACCCCTTAGTATGTCAGATAATTTCTTTCCAATAATTTTTAAAATAATGTTTTTACATAATGTTTTTTCTTGGCAGCACTGGAGTTTGAAACTCATGCTTACTAGGCAGGTGCTCTACCACTTGAGTGATGCCACCAGCCCTTTTTTGCTTTAGTTATTTTTCAGATAAAGTCTTGTGTTTTTGCCTGGGCCAACCTGGACCTTGATCCACCTATTTATGTCTCCCATGTAGCTAGCATGACAGGTGCATGCCACCACACCCAGCTCATTTGCTGACTTTGCCTGGGCTGACTTTGAACCACGGTCCTCCTAATGTTTGCCTCCCAAGTAGCTGAGATTTTAGGCATGAGACACAGTGCCCAGCCCTATTTTTATAAAATTTTGTATTATAGTGTAAACATCAGAAAGACACAAATCAAGTTATTTTCTTAATTTCATGATGACTTGCAATTGATGCTAGTGATTTTGGGTGGGGGGGAAGGGAGAGGGAAATTTCAAATCTGAAGCTGAAAAATGTCCCCATGTGAAATCCTCCACAGGGCTATATCTGTGTCTAACCTATTTATAGGGATGCTTTGAGCATTTTTAAAACACAGGAAAATATGTTGAATTACATGTGTAAGAACACTACAGAAATCAGCAGAATGCTAAACACAAAATTCAGAATAGTGGAGAGGGAAGGAGATGGAGAGGCTTCACAGATAATAGTAACAGTCTACTTTTTTATGTGGCTCCCAGACTCCTGTGAGTTATTCTTTAAATTAAACGTGTTATATAAATATTCCTTTGTAACTTTTAACTTTGTAACTCAACCTCACATGTTAACTATTAAAGGCTTAAAATACAATAAAAAATAAGGCCAATATGTAAGTCGAGGTATTACCTGAAATAAATCAACTTAAAATGAGCAGGGTGTCTAGAGATACATAGGGCACTGGCACCTTGACAGGTTCTGTTACAAGACAAATCATGATATGACTCTTCAGACTTTCCCCAGCCCTGTGCTGCTCTGGCTCCCAGAGAGCTGGACCATGGATGTGTGGATGCATCTTCCCCTGACATCCTTTCCTTCCCTCGGCAGATTCTAGACCAGATGCAGTTGCAAAGGTTGCACACTGATCTCAGGCAACAAGACAGGAAAGCAATGTAAACAGAGGGCCAGAGAGTCACTTGGTCTTTCACACATTCCCAGATAAAGGCAGAGACCACAGCAAGAGCTTACATAGATGGTCACTGACTTGGAGGGTAAAGGACACAATGAGAGTCGTTTTGTGGAATGACCTTCCATGGGGAAATACAAGTTATCAGAAAGGTTTTACTGATTTAAACTTTGTTTCATAAGCTGAAAAAAGATAATGAACGTCTTCAAAATAAATAAGACTACTTAAGTACTGTTTATGAGAAAATAATTATTATAGGAAAAGTTAGCCTTTGTGCTTTGACGAAAAAGATCAAGGTATTGGGTTAAGATACTGGAATACTTTCATTTTAAATTTAACATTAGTCTTTGAACACATAGGACATTTAATATGCAACTTCCTGGCACATTTTAATGAATTTTTTTTGAGACAAGGTCTCACTGTGTTGTCCAGGCTGGCCTTGAATTCTTCAGCTCATGTTCTTCCCCCTTAGCCTCTTGAGTAGCCAGGACTACAGGTGCATCCACTGCACTGGATGAATGGATTGTTTTTCTTTTTTTGTGATGAGACTGGGGTTTTTAACTCAGGGCTTTGTGCTTGCAAAGCAGATACTCTATGGTGTGGAGCCATGCCTCTAGTCCATTTTGCTGTGATTTTTTTGGAGATGGTGTCTTGTCAACTATTTGCTCAGGGTGGCCTTGAACTGCAGTCCTCCAGATCTCAGCCTCCCAAGCTAGGATTATAGGCATGTATTAGTTCTTTGATCTGTGTCAGCATTTCATATTGAAAACAGAAGCCAAAAGCACAAATATTAAAAAAGAAACTACTCTTTTAAAGAAAGTTGCAAGACAAACAATAAAATCCAAAACAAAGCAGTTTACCATGACTTCTGGTTCAGGTATACTAATGCCGTGGAAAAACTGGTTACTTTTAAAGATAGACTGATGTCTTGGGATTAGTTTTCCTGGAAAATACAAACCACATAGCGTATGATAAATTTGGTTAAAAAATCATAATGTTAACTGAATATGTATTTTCCTGATCTATAGCTTATTTTTAATTTTGTTTTTCCTGTCTTTGGACGAGCAGAGTTTCTTAATTTTAACTGTTTGTTTTCATCCAATGATGAATAAATAAATAAAATGAGCATAATTTTACTATCTAACTTACTGAGTTACATAGTAACCCTTTAGAGTTATACAGTGATAAAAGGATTGTTTAAAGAATAAGGTGTTTTAATATGATATGTAGGACTAATTTAATTACTCTTTAAAAGCACATGCTTTTAGTTTTTAATTGAAATGTCTTCTTTTGGAGTAATTGAAAGTTCATAGGTAGCATCTCATAAAACTGCTGTAAAATATCACAACCTTTTTCTCTATATGTAAATCTTTAAATTGAACATTATTTCAATGTCTCTTTACATAAGATCAACGTAAAATTAAAAAAATCATAACGTACAGAAATGGTTAACTTCTAAGATTTAGGAATGAACAAAATACTGTGCCTGATTGTTTCTTCCAGAGGTGGGAGGAATGGACCTGTGAAAGGTGTGTCTGCTCTGGCAAGGTCAATTCTCCCCTACAGCTCTCTTTACTGTGTGTGGTTTGGCCTGCCATTCAGCCTTCACCAAAGGACAAAGTGAGAAAATGGTGCTGAGGGCTTTACACACATTATCTCATCACTTTCTTAACACTCTCACAACAGTATTGTTATTTTTAATCTTGACTGCATCAATGAGGAAATGAGGCTCAGAGAGGTGAAATAGCTTGTCCCAAGTCACATGGCAGTTGACGGTGTCAGGATTCAAACTTAAGTCTAATGTCTACCTAATGTCAACTTCCAGAATCCTTTTAGGAAGTCAATCAAACAAGCAACACACACTTAAGGTACAGCTTGTAGTAATATAATAACCCACCTCACATTTTCATGCTGCTGAATTCCCTGAGAGAAAGCGTTGGAGACAAACAGGGAACTGTTCAGCAGCCGTGCAGCCCGGAGGGGTTCTGGGGAGGAAGTCGCATCTGTTTATCCCACATGCATAGGCGTCATTTTCTTTGCACCTGGGCTCCCAGAACGAAGCTGCAGCTAACATTTGGATCCTGTGCTCTTCTAGCCGGGGGAGGTAGACAACTACAAGACTCCTGGGGATGCTGAAACATGTGAGCACTATCCCATTCTAAGTCTGCACTTAATGGGATGTATGACATTAGGCCAATCATGGAGGCAACCTGAAACTGTTTCCTTCTTTATAGTAGGCACAACTAAACATGAAGCTTTTCTTGAGACTGAAAGGGCTCATATGTGTGAAAGTAATTTAGAAATTCTTAAGCACTATACAAATGAGGTGTATGTTGCTGTTTTAAATTCTAGTAGCCACTCTCAACCTGGAAATAAAACCAGACTGTTAAGCTCTAGGGCAGGGGTCTGCAAACTAAGGCCCTCAGGCCAAATCAGGCCCACTGTCTGTTTTTGCATGGCCTGAGACCTAAGAAGAATTTAGTATTTTAAATGGATTAGAAAAAAATCAAAAGAATAGTATCTTGTGATATGTGGAAACTACAACAAATTTTGTATGGCTGCCGTTTGCATGCCATGCAGAACTGAGGAGTTGCAACAGAGACTATATAGCCTGCAAATCCCCAAGTACTTGCCACATGGCTCTTTCTAGAAAAAAATTGCTCTAGAGTGAAGTAGCAAGCCTCTTCTACAGTGGGCAGAAATAGCATGTGGTCAAGTTCTCTTAGGTTAAATTCCAGGCAGTTGACTAGATCTTGCCCGTCTTATCCTGACATGGAGGGGATGTACAGCTTATTCCACTGCTAACTACTTTCCTTGGAAAGGCACCTGAACGTGCACTGAAAGCAGCTGTGGCTCCACATCCCGAGGAAAGGATGAGCTTTGGCTGCTACCCAGAACTTCACGGCCCATCCTGAAGAGCCTCTGGAGAAGCAATCAAGCTCTCTTTTCATGGCAGTTAACATGTGACTACTACACTGACACCAGTACTATTTACTTTAGCTTAGAGTCTGTGAGTCAGAAAATGCAGTACATACCCAGTGTTCTGATGATCAGATAAAGTTGGTCCACATCTGATTTGCCAGGCCAGAGTGGCTGGCCAGTCAGGAGCTCTGCGAAAACGCAGCCGACAGCCCAGACGTCGACGGAGGGCCCATACTTCGTATCTCCCACAAGAAGCTCTGGTGCTCGGTACCACCTTGTAGCAACGTAGTCAGTGTAGGCATCTCCTGGAACTGGAAAGGAACGCAGGGGAGCCAGGTGAGCCGAATCCTCGCAGCGTGTGGCCCTGCACCCTGCTGCCCAGCAGGGCACTCAGGCTCCTGTAACTTACAGAGGCCATGATCCTGCCGAGTTAATGGTGCGGGTGCGAGGTACAAAGTGAGTGAGCAGTCACACTATGCACTGAGACAGTAAACTCAGCTTTCGAGAGCATGTTAGCTAGTTAATATCTGCATCATCCCAAACACAGAGGATGATGTAGATAAGAGGATAAGAATTTCTCTACTGCAACTTCAACTCTAAACTACCTATTGTTTGTTTCCACTTCCCAAGTGCTGGTATTATAGATGTGCACCAATATGCCCAGCTCAGGAGTAGTATTTATTTTTGTTTTTCAAGAATATCATTTTAATATACATTTCTTTGATATCAGTGTGGAGAATTATTTCATGTTTATTAGCCTTTTGTTTCTTATGCGAGTTGTCTGGTAGTATCTTGCTAATTTTTCTACTCAGCTTTAATAGTTTACTTTTATTATCAATTTACATAAGCTATTTTATATAACCTATTAACTGTCAATTTTGAAATATTCCTCACCTTGCTTTAAACATTTTGTCTCTGACCAGATGCAGTGGCTCATGCCTGTAATATTGGGGAAGTAGAAATTGGGAAGATCATGGCTTGAGGCCAGCCTAGGCAAAAAGTTAGAGACCCCATTTCAATGAAAACAAAAAAAGCTGGGTGAGGTGGCATACACCTGTCAGTTTGGCTGTGCCTTGATCTAGGCTGGCCTGGGCAAAAAATGTGAGACTCTACCCCAAAAATAACTAAAGCAAAAAGTGCTGGGGATGAAGCTCAAGTGGTAGAGTGCCTGCCTAGCAAGTGAGAGGCTCTGAGTTCAAACCTCAGTACTGCAAAAAACATTTAGTCTCTGTATATCTATATTATGTCTATCTACCTGGAGATTAAATTTGTTTTGTGATAAAAATATACATATGTAAGTCACCATTTTAATCATTTTTGGTGCACAATTTAGTGGCACTTAAGTACACCCACACTTGTGCAACCGTCACTGCTATTCACACCCAGAACTTTTTCAGCAGCCTAGCCTGAAACTCTATATCTATGAAACAGTACCTCCTCATTCCCATCCCCAAATCTCTGATAACCACTATTCTTTTTTTTTATCTCCATGAATTTGACTATTGTAGGTACTTCATAGAAGAGAAATTGTACAGTATTTGTCCTGGCTTATTGTGTCTGGCTTATTTCACTCAGCATAATGGTTTTAAGATGCATTCATATTGTAGCATGTATCAGAACTTCATTCCTTTTCAGGGATAAATAATATTCCACTATTTGTATACCCCCAACCTATGTTTATCTACTCATCCTTGATGGACATTTGGATTGTTTCCACCTTTCCACTATTATAAAGCTTCTGTGAACATGGGTATACAATCATCTTTTTGAATTCTGGCTTTCAATAGTTTTGGGTATGTATATATACATGGAATTGCTAAATTCTATAGTATTCCTCATCACCACTTTTTTTTGGTAGGACTGGGATTTGAATTCAGGGATTCACATTGTATAAAGCAGGTGCTCTACTGCTTGAGCCACACCACAGTCCATTTTGTTCTGGTTATTTTGGAGATGGATTCTTATGAACTATTTGCCCAGGCTGGTCTTAAACTGTGATCCTCCCAATCTCAGCCTCCCAAGCAGCAGAATTAAAGATGTGAGTCACCGGCACCTGGCTACAGGATCTTAAGTTTTTATGCAGTTAAGTCTGTTGATTGAGTCAATGTTAGAATTTTAATACATAGCATTAAGGACATCTTTTGTCAGCAGTGACTCAAACCAGCACTAATAACAGCTTGAGCCATACCCAGTGGCTGGGCTCCCATCCCATGGAGATTCTGGCTAATGTGAACGAGTTGGCAGTGCCTCCCACTTTTGCTTTGTTTATAATTGCACACTAGAAGCTACTGTTACTGGAATTGCCATAGTGGGTCACCATCTGAGACTTTGCAACGTGTTCGTGCAATAGAAATTTCTGAGGCAGTTGACCCTAACAGTGTACTCAGCACTGAGGTTCTTCATTCAGAGAAGGATGACTGTTGCTACAGGAAGACTCAGCAGGAAAGCAAGAATGCATACTCACGAAAAATCAAACACATTTGTATTTTCTGCAGAATTGCCAGTTGAAAAAGCCTTGTCAGCCCACGAAAAAAGTCTCCAAAAGGACCATTTATGAGGTGACTGGTACATGAAATGTTTCTTTTATGTTCTTAATGTTTACAATGGCATATATATATAGTTTTCTTCATTTATTTTTGTGACCAAATTGGTATCTTTGTAGTATGAGATGGATTTCCAGGAAAACCTCCAAGTCTGACATTGCATTTAAATGTCATACCAGGTGACTATTACACACTTAATTTCCTAAGGGTCACATGTACTCCCATCATTTTTTCCCATGAATTTCCTATATAGTTGAGATCATACTGTATATTTAAGTTTTAGCTTTCCTTTTCTGCTTACCATGTCTGAAACATTTTTAGTAGCACAGAAAGCTGTGAACATCACTTCTGATGGCAGTCTAATCTTCCAGGATATGATGTACTTTGTGCAGAGGTCATAGCTCAATAATCCTGTGTTTGCTTACTTCTCTTTTCAGCCATATGGAAAGGGACAATTATCATTAGGGTCCAATAGGTTTACACCACAAAGCACAGCAGCCTTAGAACACCTTTACCAGGTTTCCCAACTGACTCTTGCCAGTGGATTGTTGGTTCACTGCATTTGGATCCCGTCAGGATTCTGATTATGGCACTCCTGTACTGAGAAGTGTATGTTGCACATTCTGCCTGCTGCCCACTCCTAGATTCAGGTAGAAATAAGTATTTCTATTGTTTCCAGCCTGCCTGGGTTGAGTTTTCTTTGCAGTCTCTGAATTCTCGCTCCTTAATTTTCAGTTGAATCTTCTGGTCTCACCAGCTCCAAGAAGTTTTTTTTAATCACACTAGCCTACATTAATGACTCCCTCTGGGGAACCACCTGCATCTTCATATTAATACTTTTTGCCAGCCATCCTGCATTATTCTTTTGTTTTGTTTACTTTAGATCATAAGTGCATGGAGAGCAGAAGTGCATCTTATAATTGTTTTCCACCCCTATGGGGCAAAACACATAGAGATGTCATCCAATAAACTCTAGCTGAGTGGAGTGGAGAGGAAATGTCAACTAATGCACTAAAAAGCTAACGTGAAGTTTTCCTTTTTGAATAACAACAATAAAACATTTAGCAGACATTCAGTGTCGAGTAAGAATTTAAACTGCATGAGTTTATAATCATCTGAATTGGATACAGTGGGTAAAAAAATTGCGACTTACTCAGAATTCGTGCAAATCCAAAGTCACAGATCTTGATTACTCCTTGCTTTGTTATTAGAATGTTTTCAGGCTTTACATCTCTGTGGAGGCACTGTAAAACAATATTTGATTAATTTTTGGAGCCATCAAGATGACAAGAATAAGCATTAGCTCCTAGTTTAAATGATGGATACATAGCCTATGATAGAAAAACAAATATAGAGTTCCTTCATTTTTCTAGAAAAACTGAAACTGGCAATTTTCAGTTATAAATCCTGTCATAAAAGGAAAAAATATAAATGTTGTTACATCATTGAAGAAATTAAACTGCAATAGTTGCATGTAAAACTGTCTTTTTTTTGAAGGAGTATCATACAACAATTTCCTTCACTTTTTACTGGGCCTCTTTAAACTGTATGAACTAAAACACTAAATGAGAACAGACTTATTTAGAAGCACTCATGTGCCTCTACTAAGAATCACAATTTAGGTTGAATGTTGCAGATGTGAGAATTGGAAAAACATTTGAATGGTAATGAAAAACATTCATTTATAATTTGAGTGACCCTATTATCTGCCACCCAAATCAGGACACTTTCAGGTGAGGGACTCTGTTAGTAACCAGGCCAGGACAATAGGCACAAATCAGAACCGCCCAGAGTAAGGTGGATCGCATAGTTGTTCATACATTGGATTGGAATTTCCCCCACCATGCACAGACCTGGAATGATAAGCGCCACTGGAAACCCTCCCAGGAGGGCAGGACTCCACCTGGAGGTGCTCTCACCTCAGCCAAGGTCTGCTATTCTTTTTTTACATGCACCTCACATTGCTGCATTGTCACAGTGATCCAACAGGACACAGGTGCTCCTTCTGAACACACGAAAAGCTAGGCTAGGGGAGGGCGAGGGCTGGCTGAACGAGCCCAAGAATGGTGATTTCAGAAGTGGCTTGACATGTTGTGGAGGTGCTGTGAGAGAACAGCTCAGACCTGCTCTTCAGAGCTTTGTCATCTTCTCCATGGTGGCCCTCATAGAGAGCTCTGACTCTTCAGAGCACTCTGTCATGAATTATTTCATCCTTGCAGCAATCCCTGGATTGCAGGTGGCCATTGACAGTCTCTGGATTGTTGCAATAATTAGTTTTGTCTGCCTCACTTCTCTGCCATGCAGTAAGTCTCTAGGGATTCTTGTCAAATTGAAAATTCTGAAATGCTTTTCTTTGCTTCTACAGAAGCTTTCCAGGAAGTAAAAGCTAAACCTTAAATTCATTTTAGGGCACAAAATAAAAGCTAGTTTCTACTTAGTCTCAATGACTATCAACTTTTTTATAATTTGTATGGCTAGGAGTTAGAAGAAAATGTTTCAGGCCTCTTACAAGTTAAGGCCTTAGATATTAATTTTAAATTACATTATTGGGCTAGAAGACAAAACTGTCTTGATATACCATTTTTTAAGCAATATGTTTATTCAACTTACACTACTACTCCAAGTCAAGACTACTCATAGTAGCTGGTGACTTGATTAGAAGGGTCATGTACCTCAAATGTGTTTGTATCAAATTCTGTATTTTCTAGACTATGTGTGGCATTACAAAGTAATGATATTTTTCTGATGGCCTATTTAAATATTTTTGGCTCTAATGCATATGCATGTGAAATTTATAGCACTTATTTTTTAACCAAAAATTATAAAGACAAATGAAATATTGATACATATCAAGAAACAAAAAAATTTATTGGCATAGTTGTAGGTAAGAGAAACTACTGATAAAGATGGGCTATTGAAGAAGAAAAGGGGAATGATAAGAGCTGGGACAGTAAAAGACAGAACTGGAGGACAGAGACACTCAGACATACAGCATCTGTCTTCTCCACAGCCAGGCCACTCTTTAGTGCAAACTCTGCATCAGCTCTTGTGTGAGGGCTCTTGCAATTAGCTTATTTTCCACCAAAGAACAAGAAACATGCAAGTATCCTTAACAGAGAATTTTAATAATTTTTTTTGTTGATACTGGGGCTTGAACTCAAGGCCCACACCTTGAGCCACTCCACCAGCCCTTTTTATGAAGGTTTTTTTTTTTTTTTGAGATAGGGTCTTAAGGAACTATTTGCCTGGGTTGGCTTTGAACCATGATCCTTGTGATCTCTGCTTCCTGAGTAGCTGGGACTACAGGCGTGAGCCACAAGTGCCCGGCACAGATGGGTTTTATACACTGCTTTATACGTTGCTCAGGCTGGGTTAATACTGGTTCACAAGGTGGCATGAAGAGGTATATCTGTGTTATTTTTAACTTCACATTCAGTCTTCAGAATTAATTTCTGGAAACATCCACATCAGAAATTGTTTCTTATATGCCATGACTGAGCACTCGGTTTCTGTTGTCTGAGAAGGTAGTCCTCTTTGAGCTCTTGATACTTACAAACGAGTAGAGAAAAGGGGCCCTCCTGACAACCAAAACATGAACAGCAGCAAGATGCTGACGGATGCTGCAGCTGGGCATGCCCACAGCTTGGAAATAGCTGTGGCTTTACTTCTTTTTCTTTAATCAATGTATCGAATATAAAATCCATGGGGTCATAATGAGATTAAATTGATCACTTCACTTACAAGGTGAAGCCGAACAAAGTGAGTAGGTATTTTCTTAAATCTATTGCTTCTCAAAATTTAATGTGCACCCTGATCACCTGGAGCTCTTATTAAAATGCAGACTCTGCATTAGCAGACTTGAGAGTGGGCCTGAGATTCTGCATTTCTAATGAGCTCCCAAGTGATCTCTATGAGTCACATTTTGAGTAGCATGGCCTCACGTCTTATTACTTTAACCTTCATTGTCTTGCTTAAGATCATGACTCTGGAGATAATAAGGTAAACATGGTGTCCTAGGTTGAAAGCTGGGAGTCTTCGGCAACACCAATGGATCAGATTGCCTTTTTTTATTTTTTGAAAATATCATGAGAGTTCCTTTAAAAATAAGGAGAGTATTAAGATTTCAGACATAGTATTGTAAATCTTTGAGTTAGATTTTTCTTTTGTATGCACTTTAGCTAATAGATAAAAAGGTACAAAAAGGCTTACCATAGCATAAGAAAATGAGTAAGTTCAGAAGTGAAGGAAGTTTGTCTAAAGATTATCCAATTTTAACTGAGGTCATAGATTGTCAATGAGAAGTTTTCAATATTTTAAACCTTAAGGTAAAGAATGTGAAGTTCTAAGCAGAGAAATGATGGCAACTGTATTGAGCTACAATAATATTCAGGTCTGCTGGAAATTATGTTACAATCAGGTAGGTAGGTTGGTTGATTGATTCATCTATTTATTTATCCACCCACCCGTTCTTCTGGTTATTCAACAGATATTGACTGAGCATCCCTTATATAAAAGTTCCCTACTAAGCACTGAAGTGATACAGGCACAAATAAGTCTCAGACATTGTATTTGATAATCTAATATGCAGGAGAGTGCCTGGTTCTATTAGAATAAAGCACAAATACTCATGGTAAACAGTATTTTAAAAAAATTTTTAAAAAGGTGGGTGCAGTGGCTTATGCCTGTAATTCCAGCTGCTCAGGGGGAGGAGTTAGAGAAAATAGCAATTTGAGTCACCCTGGGCAAAAAGTTAGCAAGACTCCCATCTCAACCAAAGCCGAGTGTGGTGGCATGCGCCTGCCATCCAAGCTACATGGGAGGCATAGGTAGGAGGACTGTAATTTCAGGCCATTCTTGGGCAAAAAAATGCAAGACCCTATCTGAAAAATAACTGAAGCAAAAAAGGGCTGGGTGACTCAAGTGGTAGAGTGCCCATATGGCAAGTATGAGGCCCTGAGTTCACCCCCAGAACCACCAAAAAAATTTTTTTTGCAAAAACTATCCATAAAATTCCTACATCAGCCTTAGGTGAGCTTGTTATTTTCTATAGCATGGTGGAAAGCAATAAATATATGGATTTAATTCAGCATCATCTTAACTAAGAATTTGAAAGCACAATTTGCACAAGTTTAGGTAGGTTGTGAACAATATCCCTCTACATTAATAGAAAATGAAGGTTTTTGACTTATTTTCATGAAACATTCACTGAGTTTCTTGAAACTAAAGAAAGCTTCCCTAAGTATTGATATTTAGTTCCATGATCTTGTATTTTCTTTCTCAGCAATCCTAGACTATCATGGTAGACATTCTGCTGGCATCAATACTGACCATATGGTTATCTGAATTGCTGTCTCTACACTCTCTCAATCTAGGCACCAACTCAAAGGTCTACAGCTATTTTTTAAAAGCTCCCATTCTATTAAAAGCACTCAAATCCAGGAGCCAGTGGCTCATGCTTGTAATCCTAGTTACTTTGGAAGCTGAGAATCAGGATGATCACAGTTCAAGGTCAGCCCAGGCAAATAGTTCTCGAGATCCCATGTCCAAAATAACCACAGCAAAATGGACTAGAGGTGTGGCTCAAGTGGTAGAGCACTTCCTTTGCAAGCCTGAAGCCTGAGTTCAAACCCCATTCTATCACACACACAAAAAAAGAGCACCCAGAGACAACTTGAGTAAGCTCCATAGGCCTAAGATGGGAAAACTTGAACACTTGAGAAAATAATTCCAAAGGATTGCAAACATCAAATACATAAAATTCATGTTCATAATAGCTGCAACCCCATCACTGTTCTCTGTTTGAGGATGCTGAGATAATTATCCATCAATCTTAAGTTATTGACTCATAAAGACATCATCATGCATTCATCTAACTATATTTTACAATAGTCAGAGCCCATGAGGGTAAGTCAATTTCCATACAGTTAAAATGCAGAAGGAATAACAGACTGGAAAACTGCCATTTCTTAATTGTAATGAAATACTAGATGCAGGCAATAATCATCGCTGGATGCTAAAACCATCAGGGAAACTGATAATGGAGGGATCAAACTAATAACTCCTGAGCTTACTACTAATCAATATCAACGTTATCAAAAGTAGGACAACCAGAGATAATATACCTCGTGATGTTGATGTGATAAGTGTACCACACCACATATGAAATATCCTTGTCTACAAAACTAAACCTGAATATGGTCAAGCCTGCAGATAGAAATATCAACTTACAGGAAATACGATGAAAAAATGAGTTAAATCACACAGGAAACCACCATCTGAAATGATTTCTTTAACACAGTAGTATTCAATGTGTGCTTCTTAGACTAGCAGCTTCAGTATCATGAAGGAAATATGTGAAATGCCAGTTCTCAGGTCCTACCACGGATATATAAGTCAGAAAGTCTGGGGGCAGGACCCAGCAAGCTGTGTTTTACCAGGCCCTCCAACTGACTTTGATGCATGCTCAAGTTTCAGAACTATGGCATGAAAAATTACATTTTCGAAAAAGTGTGGAGGGGAGGGGGAATTTACAGAATAAAAACTAAACCAAACCAAGGGCTGGATTTGTGGCTCAAGTGGTAGAACACCTACCTAGCAAGCATGAAGCCCTGAGTTCAAACCCTAGTACGGCAAAAAAAATCCAAACCAAGTGCCATAGTGGATCACAGTACTGATATGCTGAAAAATTATTTTAACCTAATTTAAAATATTAATAGGAATAATTAGTATTGTGGCAAAAGGAAACATTAAGTTGATACAAACTTTTAATTTACAAGACATTGGTAACTTGATTCTTACAGAAATTGGAAAAGGGCCATGGATAATGAATAGCTTTTCCTCATACCTGTAAAGGTATGTTTTGCTCTGCTGGTTCTTTCTTTCCTTTCACCCGTAGCCCTTCAAATAAATAATTAGGAGAGTCATTATGAAGAAATTAATAAAAACATTAGAACAGTGTTACTTACGTTATGTTTGTGACAGAAATTAAGAGCTTGAAGTGTTTGCCATAATACACTTTTGATCACTCCATCAGAAACTCTGGGGAGGGAAAAAAGGAAATGAAAACTCCAGGGATGAGGGTCCAGGAGCAAGGGAGAATAGAAGTGGAACAGGTCAAAAAGCATAGTGCAGAGGAGATCCCAGAACTGTTTTTTTTTTTTTTAATGTTTTAAGGCCAACTGCGATGATTCCTGTCTGCAGTCCTAGCATTGAGGAAGTTGAGGCAGGAGAACTGCAAGTTTGAGGCTGGGTGGGCTAGATATTAAGACTTTGTCTAAAAAAACCAAACAACCCCCCAACTTTTAATTACCTTTCTTTATTATAATTATGTAATTTTCTTTTGTAGTTTGAAAATTTACGTGTAAAATGAAACATGCTTAACATGAAAATGTGCTGACTCTAATCTTGATACCTCAAAATAATTGCTGTAATTTAGTATGATTGTCTCTTCAGGCTTTTCTATTTTTCTGTCTGTCTGACTCTCTGTATCTGCTTTTAATTTTTAACTTTAATTTTAAATAAATATGTTCAAAATTATGGTTAAAATTTTAAAGTATAAAAGTATACCCATGAAGTCTTCTGACACCTGTTAGCCACCCATCTATCCTTTGCAATTCTACCCTGTCTCTTTCAGAAGCATTGAGTGCATACAGGTACAAATACTACCATGTACACATATTATTTCAGTGGCTGTGGGAAGCCTCATTTTATGGATGTCTTATAATTTACTCAGACCCCATTGATCATTGATGAGCAGTTAAGTCATTTTTTTTTCTTGGTGGTACCGGGGTTTGAACTCAGAGCCTTGGGCTTGCTATGCAGGAGGTACTCTACCACTTGAGCCACTGTGACAGTCCTGAGTCAATTTTTATTTCTAAAAAAATTCCAGTGAACACCTGTAATCATTCATATTATTGCATTAAACAATTATCATCGCAACATAAAATCTAGAAGTGAGATTTTGGGGACCAAGGGTAGCACGTTACACTTTGATCCTGTAGGTACAAACTTCACATAGACCTTAGACGAAGTATTGCAGAAAAAAAAAGAAATTTGGAACAGTGGTAAACACTCAGGCATATGCTAGAGTTAATGTGTAATATGCATACATCTGACAAGCAGGTAGATTTACAGCCAAACAGGAGGCCAGGGAAAATAAAGGTCCCTTAAGAATGGGAGACTGAGAGCTTCTTGTACCTAGGAGAATCATAATTCTGTATAGAAAATTTTGGAAAGTACCACTGGCAGAACAGTTTCTATTGGAGAACGGAGATCTGGGAAACTTCTGTCTGGGAGCATTCTACTTTATGTAACCATCTCTGCAAATTCACTTTGATTTTTAACTTTCTGTTGGTGTCTTTCCATAACTCACATCACCATCCATGATGCCTTCATATTTGCATACTACCAAGCTGCCCTCTCTAAGGAAGGTAACAGCCATTTACACCCCCACCAAACATCTATGCAGATAAGTCCCTATCTGTATATCATCTTGCCAAGCTTTGATTTTTGCCAATGTTATATTTGCCAGTTTGTGGTTAGAATAAAAAACTATCTCATTTTAGTTTTTATTTGCCTTTCACTAATTTTTAGCAATTAATTTTCACATGATTATTGAACATTGCATTTTTCTTCTTTTGTGTATTTCTATTTCAAACTCTTTATCCTTTTTTTGGATTTGTCTGTTTACTCTTTTCTTACCCATTTACAAAGACACCATGTATATTAGTCTGTTAGGTGCTGCATATATTTTTCTTAGTGTATTGTCTTTCAACTCTGTTGATGCAGATGGGGTTGTTATGGCATATTTAAAAAAACTGAAACACAGGGTTTCTTTTACTAAATGTCTACTGTAAGGATTCTTTAAATTTTTAAAATGTAATTCTCCAAACATATCCATCACTCAGACTTAATATTTTATTGTAGTTGGGAATTTAAACCATATTAAGATCACTTTTGAGAAACTGAACTCAGGCAGACGTAGGTGGATTTATAGCACTCAGCCATGCCTGCACATGACTCAGTTATGGCACTGAGTGCCATATGATAAGGTGCTTCACCGAGAGCCTCAATGTGAGGCTGAAGCACATTCAGAGAAACCAGTACAGGGGTGCTTTTCTCAGAACATTTTCCTTATCTTGGGTTATAATTATGACACCAGGCATCTGGCAGCAACCCTTTGACTACAGTTCTTCTAACTATTAATATTGTGAAAGCACCTAATTCTTAGTACTAAACCTTTTCCCACTTAAAATGCTTATTTCTGTTTCTTCACTGAATTTTGATATAACTTTCTTCTTCTCCCCCCTTTACTGAGTGCCAAACTTGAGAAAACATTGTTTAAATATTTTTAAAAGAGGCAGAAAGAATATAGGCATTTTGAGACAGACTCTGACAGACTGCCAGAGTTCAAATCCCAGTGTGCTGCTTCCTAGTTTTATGTGACAAGTTAGCTAAGCTTCAGTTTTCCTCATGTGTAAAAATGGAATGATAATTCATAAGTTATTGAGAAATCTATTGCCCGAACACCTCGGCTTTAACACCCACATGGGTCCAAGAGATGAGGGTCTGAGATCAAATGAGGCCAGTAGAGGGGTCTGAGACACTGCTCAAAGACAAAATAGGCCCAAAAGGATAGAACAAGTGAGGAGAACAGGGAGTGTGGGGGACAGCAGGAGGCCATCATGGCTGAGGCATAAGTAACATGCTGAGAGGGTTCTTCAAAGCTCGCAGGGCTTGCTAGTTCTAGATCTTGGTCAGCAATCTGGATTCTACTCTAAATTCAAAGCCATTAGAAGGAATCAAGCAAGGATATGATATGAGAATGGATTTCTGGAGGCAAAGTGGATGCAGGCAGATTAATTAGGACGCTAATTCAGCAATTCCAGTGAGATTTCATGATTAGGACTAGGGTGATAGTGGTGGAGAGAAAGGAGAATGGTTTCAGTCCTTGGGAAGGACTGCAAGGATAATACCTGGCCCTATCCATGTAAGAACAGGAAGCTGAGTAGGATCTGAAAGACTACAGGTGCCAGAGAACTGTGAAACAAGGCAGGCCTTTGGGTCAGAACCCTGATTAGGAGCATTGATAACATGGCATCAAGCAGAGTTAATTCGACAGGACAGTCTTATGGAAAAGGATGTTTGAAGGCTTCTCACTGAACGTCATGACTCTCCGTTCAGTTAGCTCAGATTAAGGAGTTAGAGTCTATTCTTGGCTAAACACCATCTGTACCAAATAACAATTATGAACATATGTCATTGATCTTATCTCCAACAAAGGTGAACTATTAATCATTTCACTATTTTAGCTGTTTCTATATTTTTATTTTAAAAGTAATATATGCTCATTCACTACAATATTGGGAATATTCAAAATAAGTTTTCAATTATACTTAACATTCTACTGTTACCTTATTCTTACATATATATCATTTCATGAACATTTCTCCAGGGTATTAACTATCCTACAGCATTCTTTCTAATGGGCTAGATGCATATTGTATCATTATTTGGGTATACCAAACATATAACCATTTTTTCCCCTTCCTTTTCTCTCTCTTCCTCCCTCCTTCTTTCCTTCCTCTCAGTTATTCCCCCCAATCCCTGCCTTTCATGAGACAAGATCTCACTATATATCCCAGGCTAGTCTCAAACTTGTGATCCTCAAGCCTTAGCCTCCCGAGTGCTGATATTATACGTGTGCACCACCATACCCAGCTTCTTTTTGAGTTTCAGTTATGGTACTTTTTTGACAAAGGCAATCTCTAAAACTACTGTGAGGTTGTTTTTTGTCAAGTTTCAAAAAAATTCCATTGGTATTCTGTTTAAAATTCTGTGCCATAAGCAAATAAGTTGATAAGGGCTATATTTGTATAATGAATATTTCTATCTAGAAACACATTGATTTAAATAAAATCTTTTATGTACTTTAGTTTTGTAATTGTCTTTATATAGAGTCTGAACAATTATTTTCATCTTTATTCCAAAGCATTTTTTGTTGTTATTAACATTTGAATGGGGTCCTTTATCATCAGATTTTCTAAAATGAGGATTTCCTAAAAAGCTTAAAAAAGCTATTAATTTTTGAGTATGGAATATGTAATGCTATAGGGATCCTATACTGAATTCCATTTGTTTTAGTAACTCTTTAAGTGATTCTCTAGATTTTGCATAGCAATAATATCATACAAATAATGACAATCTTATCTCATTTCCAAAAGCTATATTTTTATTTTTCTTATTGTATTACATTGGATAGAGCTCTCAGAACAATGTTACATTATAGTGGAGACAACTGATGTCCCTGACTTGTTTTTTAATTTAATGAAAGCTCCTTTAGTATTTTACCATTGAGTATAAAACAGGCTTTGTTCTGAAGAGGGTTTTGTGTGCATGTATATAAGAAAGTATTCTTTAATCCTGTTGTTAAGGTTTTTAAAAAAAATTAGAAAAGTCTGCTGAATTTATCAACATTTCATATTTTTAATCAATCATATGTATTTTTATCCTTTAACTTATTAGTGAATTATATGAATAGACTAATATTGAACCATGGTTCACTACTTGAATTCAGATGATCCAATATATAATGTATCCTCAAAATGCATTGCAATCTGTATTTATAGTATATTTGTCTTCCTAGGTATATTTCCTCTAGGTTATATCTGATTGCCCTTTGAGTACATCCTACCTGAGACTAGACAGAAGGGAGAATGGTGAATGGAATTTGAAATTGGTTAATTTCACAAAGAAGGAAACAGAGACTGGTCACACAGAAGTTCAATCTAGATTACTTACCCATTTGGGTTTCTTTCCAGCTCATTTAAAAGTGTATGATCACAGTATTCAAAAACTAAGTGCATTTTCCTTTTTCTTCTGAACACCTCAATGAGGTTCACAAGATTTGGGTGTTTTAACTGCTGCAAAGAAATTGAAATGCACGGCTTAGTGATGCATTTTTATTAATAATTTTCTCTACACCCTCCCTTTACAATTTGAAGAAAGTCAGGTCTTTTTAAATCACTCTGTGTTCATTTCTTGTGCAGAATTTTATTATAGTTCCTTATAAAAGAAACTGATCTAAAAATCATAGAAACTCCAAGTTGGAAGAAATTTAAGAATTTATGTAATGACTATCAATCAAAGTAATTAAACTGCTTGAATTTCTTTGGTGATAACAAATAAAGTACATAGGTTAAAATACAAGCATTAAAATAAAAAAATTATGCATTTTATGGAAACTAAAGCCATAAACTAAACAAAAAATTGAACAAATAGAATTATTAAGTAAAAGATCATAAAAATCATCAATACCCACTTAGCTTACAGAGTGACATGGATTTAACGTAAATGCAACCTGGATTTAACTCAGTCTGAGTTCTAGTGTTGGGTCTCAGCAGTACTATCTCCTCACTCTTAAATCTGGTTAAATAGCCCATTCTAGAGTCACCATAGTCTGTTTAAAATTTTATATTTTATACTTTAACTCTGTTCTCTGATTCTGTTCTTTGCTCTTATGCTGAGATGTTTTGTGTGTTAAATTCCATTCCCAAAGTGAAGCATTTCACAATGCAGCTTCTGTTTAAGACTGTAAACCAAAGAAAAAATGATGATGAAATTAGATAATCTATCACTAGAGTGACTATTAAACTTATCATCCAAACAATTTAACAAGTAGGAGCCAGGGCAGTCCCAGGCAAAGTAGCATATATGGTCACCCTGCCTGTGGTGACCATACATTTTAACACATACACCGGGGCACTTTTGAAAGTGATGGGGATGCTAACCAGACAAGACACTGGGACAAAAACTATGAAACAGGATTCTCTCAGGCAAACCAGGATATATGATTTCTCCTATTTATAACTCATTTTCCTTGTTGTTTTCCCAGTATAGTATACAAATCAGCTTTCTTATCTCATTTACCCAGAAAGAAATGTGAAGAGAGAGAACACAGTATTTTTGCTATACTAGCAGCTCAATTAATATTTTTACACATAGCATTGTACTTAGTACAGAGTCTTAGGTACATATAGGCCTTATACTGCATGCCTCTGTGTCAGTGTCTATAGCAAGGCTTGACATGGAAAAAAAAAAAACAGAAAGAAAGAAAGAAAGAAAGAAAAAAAAAGGGTCAACCTACAACTGTGTGCCTTCTGCTCAACAGTTTCAAAAATGAGAATCTACTATTTGTGAAAAATGTGCTCAGAGCCCCAAATCAATCTGCTTTCTATGAAGCCCACTACCTTAAAGAGCAGAAGGTGAAAGAGTGGCAGAGAGGCAGAGACCAGGCTCAAATGAGCCAGCTACTTTGTGCTGTAGCAGAACCCCAGGATGGATGGAAAGTAGTTTCCCTACAAAGCAGGTGAGGGGTTCACAGATGCTATAGCTCAATTCAATGTCCACATTTAATCTGGTCAAATCTCTGAGTAGGCCAGAGATTTATATCTGTTTTGCAAATGAAGTTCACTTAGTCTAGATAAACAGTGACCTGCCTAAAGTAGAAGAGGCAGCATTGAGGAGGCAGCAAATCAAAGTTAAAAAGCAGGACTATTTGGGAAAGGAAGGCCCATTCATCATGGAAGGAATGTGTTCAGGACTTGCATGGGTGCAGCATACCCAAAGCAGGAAAGCTCATCCTGAGAGCCATCACCAGAGACCAAGCTGATTCCATACTCGAATTGGGCAGCTGTAACCTACAAGGGCCCACCTGAGCATTAATTTCATTTGAAAAATAGGGAGGGAGAAGAAGGGTAAAAGCATAATTCTTATTAAAAATACTGCCTGGTTCAGACCCACCCTGTTCCTTTGCCTAGTGACGGGAGCCAGAGCCGCCTTGTTCACCAGCACCCTCTGCTGGCTAAGAGGGAAAAATGAACTATTTTTATCATGAAAGATGGGCTGAAAATGGTCAAATTATATTTTAAACAAAACCCTATAATGTATTAGATAGTAAAACCTGCTGAAAATGGCCTTTGAAAAGAAGAAATAATATAATTATATATGCTTACAAACTGAGTTTTTGGGGTTTCCTATAAATGGAAGACACACTTTCAAAGTGAAGGTTGACTGTGTATAATTGAAGACACAGGGTCTTGTTAGTTAACGTGTGGTACACCCACCAACAGCTTCTCCACTCTCTAGGAGCCTGTTAGACATTCAGAATCCCAGGGTCCATCCCAGACCCACCCCAACTCCAAACTGCATTTCAACAAGATCCCCGGAGGATTCCTAGGCACATTCATGTTAGAGAAGCACTACTGCTCTAGGTCTAAAAAGGTAAGAAATTGAGGAGAGGAAAAAATTTACATTGAGAACTCTAATTCTATCAGAGTAAAAATAATGATAACAAAAGCCTTTATGCAAAAAAAAAATCTCTCCACCATATGGGGTGGTTTAAGAACCAGGGCAATACAGGCAGGTGGTCAACAATGTCAGTGTTTCCAGGGGCACTGGCACATTCCTGTGAGCAGTTGCTGGTTTGTTGGGAAAGTCTGTGGGGCCAATGTCCACAGGAGGGCAGGGCAGGAGCTGGGAAGTACTACTAGGGTTGAGAGAGTTAGGACAGCCTGGATATTTACCAACCACAATGGAAATAGTTTGGTATTTTTACCAACCACAGTTGTGCTCATATTTATCAGATAAACATCAGAGTGGCCAAAATCCAAGGTGATGGATGATTACCTTATGTCTCAGAGTGCAGATATAAAGGAATTTAAGTCCAATTGAAAAGAAATAACTTAAAACTTATTGGTAATTTTAGTGTATGTATTCACTCAATGCTTTGATAGTACAGACATATATAAAGTTAACCTACCTTCAACATACGTATTTCTCTTAGTGCTATTTTCTTAACAACAGGATCATCTTCAGATTCCACAAATTTTTTAATAGCTACTATTTGTCCAGAGGATTTGTTTCTGCATTTGAATACAACCCCGTAAGACCCTTCTCCAATCTTAGCTAGTTTTTCATATTTTTCCATTATATTTAAAGTGACTTGAATTACTGATTGATATGCAGTATAATGTTGCACCTGGAAAATAAGATCAACTCATCTTAATCAAATTATAAAGGACAACACTGTCACAGCTTACGTACAAACAATTTGTCTGGGTTGCCAAAAGTTTATTTGCACTGATTAGTTTTAAATCCATTTAAAATTATTTTGTTAGTTTAGTTCTATGCAGTTTTTTCAGCTATCATGAGGATTTCACACATCATTCTCCACTTCCTTTCTCTCTCTCTCAGGGTAATGGAGTTTGAATGCAGGTCCTGTTTGCTAGGCAGGTACTCTGCCACTTGGGTCACATGCTCAGTCCTTTTTTTGCTTTAGTTAGTTTTCAGGGTCAGCCCCAGACCATGGTCTTCTTGCCTATACCTTCTGTATGGCTTCTGTGTGGCTACCAAACTTGGCCCTTTTCACATATGGATCTGTGTTTACCACAGTTGAATTAAAAGAAATTGTGGAAAGGAATCTCATCCAATTTATTGTTTTCATAATTCTCAAGTAAATTATTAAAACATGTGGCTATAAAATGCAGCTGAAAGAACATTTCATACTTTTAAATATGGTGTTCATCTTTTCCTTCTTAATTCACATGAATACCACAATGAGCAGGAAGAGCTGTGTAACAAGACATAGTATAAAATGCTATACTTCCCCCTGGTGGAGAAGAGAAACTGTGGGCTGCTGAATAAAGTGACTTTAAAAATAACAGACTCTTTTCAGGGCACCACTTATTGCTCTTAGCTTTTATTTGTGTAGGGAGTTAATTCTTAGATTCAATGAAAATAATGATAATGCACAATAAAAGGGCTAGATTTCTTTAAGTCTTCCTGAGTGTTTTCATAGCCATACTGATTTCTAAGGAAATACTAGGCTTAATTTTTCTGACTTGCATCATTCATTCCTGGTTATTTTTGTAAACTGGTTAAACATGAAATGCTGAATAAGGCCAGCATAATTATATCAGTCTAGGAATTAAAAACAAACAAATTTTAATTAGTCTAAAAAATCTCACCTTTTTATCCAGCAGAATCTTGTGAGTACAATCTAATACAATAGTTACACTAGTTAGCACTTAAATAACATTGTTCTGTTTACATAAAATTGGCACTAATATTCTATGAAGCAGGTATTATTTTTATCCAATTGTACAGATGAGAAAACTGAGGTGTGGTAAAGAATTAGAACCCAGACAGTCAGGTTTCAAAGATCACAATTTTAATCACTACACTATGCAGCCTCTCAGTTAATTTACCATAATGCACAATTTGAACAACCATTTTATTTAGGTGTTGGTATTAATAAAATGTTAAATGAAAGAAGTGACTGCTTATAAAATTTGTTTCAAACCAGTATACACTTTAAAAAAAAATTCACTAATATTCAGCCTTTTCCACAGATATCTCAATGGGGAAACAAACAATCCGTTCTCACTTGCTACCAAACAAATATACAATAGGGCCAGGGATAGAAGTGCATGCCTATTTCTCAGCATACTGAAGGCCGAGGCAGGACCACGAGTATGAGGCTAGCTTGAGCTACATGGTGAGACCCTGTCTCAAGACATAAAACAAACAAAAACATACAGCAGGGAATAGTATTTACCTGGGTAACTGATTACTGACATACCATTTTTAATGATTTTTAAAAAGTGGATTCTATTTCCTTATTAAAGGCAGAAAATTAGGCTGGGCACATGGCTCAAGTGGTAGAATGCCTGTCTCGAAGTGCAAGACCTTGAGTTACAAATCCCAGTATCACCAAAAATAAAGAGAGAAAATTCAAGCTAGTAACACAGGGAAAATCTAACACAAATTAAGTTTTGGAAACCCTATTAATATTAATTATACTACATATTTACATAGGCATTAATATCTTAAAGTTTTTTAGAAATAAGTATGCATCCATTTGCCTTTCTCTAGTAATAGGTAGCTGGAAAGAGAATAAGAAAAAATAGAAGTTTGCTTGGTATAGAACTTCATAAATTTATGAATTTAATATACTTGATAAGTGCTACTATGATAACTGGGACAATCTATGAATATGACACAAAGCTTAATTATAAAGTTTTAGTCCATGTGTTATTTTCACATTTCCCTGAGGTAGTTATTCGATCTGGTGATCTAATTATCTATGCTTTTCTTTTTTTTTCCAACAGATTCAATGACTGGTTCCTCAGACTAATCAGATCTCTTGGTCATATCAACCAAACTGCTGAATACAATAAAATAAAGCTCCAGAAAACAGTACTTTACCTCTCAATAGTTCTGCTTTCTGGAGTCTGACATGTAAGCCAGAAGGTAGACAAAGGCAGGAATTCCACAAAGGAACTTATGCCTCCAATTCTAGCTTACTAGGACTCTAACAGAATTTTTAGACGTAGTAATTCCTACTCTCTTCCCTGAGGTCCAGGCCAACTATTCAACCACTCAGTAAACATCTCTACATGAATGAATGGGCAGAATCATCTCCAAATGCTCTAAACCAAAAGCCTTTTCTTCTTCTGTATCCATCCATATTCCTATCCAAAGTACATGAACATGTCTACATTCCACCTAAATGACTTGTCAAGATACATGTAGAGTGGAACTTAAAACAGGTAACCGACCAATTGTCTACATCTAATCTCTTTTTGAAGCTTACAAAAAACTGTATGAATCAACCCAAACAAATAAAACAATGTATATCCAATGCCTTCACCATAGTAGGAAGACAGCGGACTCTACAAATTTAAACACAAAAGCCCAAATTCTGGAAGAGATATTTCTGGAGCTCCCATTGTAAAGCATCGCATAGAACAAAGAAAAGAGTTGGGTAAGAGCTGTAAAAACTTGTGAGGAAGAATACAGAGGAAAGAGGGCCTAAGATAGACTCAAAATCACCCCCTAGAAAATAAAATGCATCACAAGTATATGTGCATGGAGGAAGCATTGGTCAGTGTGGCACCACTCTCCTGGGGGGAAAGAGAAGGATAAGAAGGAAGGGAGAGACTCCTGCTGGAGACTGAAGAGTGAAAGGAAAAAGAAGCACGTGGGACAAATTTAGGATCTTCCAAGACAAAGAGAACCCTGTAATACAAGGACATGCAAATCCTTCCCTCATAACTAATATAGAAAGTGTTCTGTTTTTTGGTCTTTCAAATGACCAGTATGAAAAAGAGAGAAAAGAATGAAGATGAACAGAGCATCAGAGACCTGTGGGACAAAATCAACAGTGACAACATACATCTAATAAGATTTCTGGAAAGAAAGGAGAGAAAAAGGCAAAAAAAAAAAATTGATGAAATAGTGGCCAAGACTTTCCAAATTTAATGGAAAACATCGTTCTACACATTCAAAAAAGCTAAAAAAATTCTAAGTAAGATAAGTATAATGTGATTCATACCTTGATACATCATAGACAAACATCTGAAACCAAAGATAGAATTGGGGTTTGAATTCAGGGTCTCATAGTTGCTAGGCAGGTACTCTACCAAGAAAGCCATGCCACCAGCCCTTTTATTGTGCGTCAGTTATTTTTGAGATAGGGTCTTGTTTTTTGCCCAGGTTGGCTGCAAATTGCGGTCCTCCTGATCTCTGCCTCCTGAGTAGCTAAGATTACAGGTGTGAGCCTCCAAGACAGAAAGTATCTTGAAAAGAGCAAAAGAGAACTACTCAGTTATAACAGGACAACGGTATGCTTAATAGCTGACTCCTCATCAGAAAAACAATAGAAAAAATGAGTAAAAAATTTGTTCTTTGAAAGAAACCAAACTGATGTATTTTTAGAAAGACTAAGAAAAAAGAGAAAAATTCCTGACCACATTACAGACATTTTAAAAAATTCAAAGAGAACATTCATTATAAACAACTTTGTGCAACTACATTAGTCAAGTTGGCTGGACAAATATCTATAAAGACACAAAATACCAAAATTAACTCATGAAAAAATAGAAAATTTGACAATACCCATAACAAGTAAAAAAATTGAGTTAATAATTAAAAAACTATGCCCAATGAAAAACCTATGATCAGATGGCTTCACATGGGAATTCTACCAAATATTTAAAATATAATTAATACCAATCCTTCACAAACTGTTCCAGAAACACAACATTTCTGAATTTATCTTATTGGCCCAAGATCACCCTGGTAAGGAGTCAGACAAAGAAACCACAAGGTCAATATTATCATAAATATAAACATAAGAATAGTCAAACAAAATAATTATCAAGCCAAACAGAAATATATTAAAAGGATTACATACCCTGACTACATGAGACTTAGAAATGCAAGGCTGGTTTAATACCAATAATGTAAAACATATGAATAAAGACAAAAATCACAGGATCATCTCAGTAGACACTGAAAAAAGCATTTGAGAAAACCCAATACTCAATCATGATAAATATTTCAACAAACTAGGAATAAAAGGGAACTTTCTTAAGGAAAAACCTAGCTAGTATCATGCTTAAAGGTGAAAGATTGTTTTACCCCTAAGATTTAGAAAAATATGTTTGCTTTCATCCTTTCTATTTAACATTGTATTGGAAGTTCTTGCCAGTGCAGTGAGGCAACAAAAATTAAAAGGAGATGATTGAAAATGACAAGTAAACTGTCATTATTTGGAAATGACATGATACTATAAATAGAAAATACTAATGAATCTACAAACAATTATTAGAAGTAATGACTAAGTTTGGAATGCAGTAGGATGCAAGATCAGTCTATAATGATCAATTGTATTTCTACATACTGGCAACAAGTACCTTGAAAATACAATTAAAACAATTCTACTCTCAATAACATAAAAATACTTATAAATTTAACAAATGATGTGCAAGACTTGCACACTAAAAATTATGAAACATTATTCAGAGAAATTAAAGAAGATGAAAGGAGAAAAATGCTATGTTCATGTATGGAAAACTCAACGAGACGTCAGTTCTATATAAATGTACCTATACATTAAATTGAACCCTTGTAAAAATTCTGATAGCTTTAAAAATAGAAATTGACAAGAGGAGCCAAAAATTTATATGAAAATGCACAGGGCCCTGAATAGCCACAATAACTGGAAAAAAAAGTTGAAAGATTTATATGGCTTGACTTGAAACTTTACTCAATTTATGGTAAGTCAAGAAAATGTGGTATTGGTATGAAGACAGACATATATACCAGTGGAACCTAACAGTGAGTCAAGAAATAAACCCTTGTATTTATGGGTGTTTCAGTCTATTTTGTGTTGCTATAACAGAATACTTGAGATGGATCATTTATAATGATCAGAAATGTATTGGTGCCATGAGCCAGTGGTTCACACCTATAATCCTGGTTACTCAGGAAACAGAGAACGTTTGAAGTCAGCCCAGGCAAATAATTTGAGACAACCTATCTCAAAAACACCCAATGCAAAAAAAGGTTGGAGGAGTGGCTCAACTGGTAGAGTGCCTGACTAGCAAGTACGAGGCCTGAGTTCAAACCCCAGTATCACCAAAAAAAAAAAAAAAAAAAATCTAAAGGAAAGGACTGGAAATGTGGTTCAAGTGGTTTTGCAAGCTCAAAGCCTTGAGTTCAAACTTTGGTCCCTCCATCCAAAAAAAGAAATGAAATGTATTGGCTCACAGTTCTGGAGTCTGGAAAGCCCAATACCAAGGCACCAAATCTGGTGAGGGCCTTCTTGCTGTGGCAAGTACATGACTGGAGGTGAGAAGGGAAGAGCAAGAGGGGGCTAAACTTACCCTTTTTTACTAATGGCATCAATCCTACACATGAGCCCTCATGGCCTCTCAACCTGAGTTTTGAAGAGAACAAACATTCAAACCATAGCAACTATCAATTGTATTTTGAGAAGTACCAAGGCAATTCAATGAGGAAAGAATAGTCTTTTTATTAAATGATGCTAGGATGATTGGATATCCATATGAAAAAATATCAAACAGCTGTGTGAGACAGCTACCTCATACACCAAAATTAACTCAAAATGAACCAGAGACCAAAATGTACAAACTAAAGCTATACAACAGAAAAAAAATAGGGAGGAAAATGTGTGACCTTCAGTTAGGTGAAGATTTCTTAAAGACATTAAAAGCATAATACATAAAAGAAAAAAATGGTAAAATGGAATTCATCAAATTTAAAATCTGTTTCTCCTCAAAATATTGTTCCAGTCTGTTTTGCCAAGCTGCACAGGAGCTTGAGATCAGGTGGATCACGCCTCCAAGCCACTGCCGGCTCAAAGTAAAGCTATTTTAAAGTGTGTAATCCTGGGGACCGAACTCAGGGCCTTACACTTACCAGGCAAGCGCTCTTCCACTGAGCTAAATCCCCAACCTTCCATTACACCAAAAATATCCTTATCAACATCAGTATAATCAGATACCATTCTTCCTCAAAACTGTTTTATGGCCCCTAAGGCCACAGAACACAGTTCAAACTGTAGCATGCAAAGGACTCTTTTCACCCTGGCCCCCACTTAGCTTTCCAGCATCTGCCTCTCAGATTCTTCCCCCAGCACTTTCAGGTCTCCAAGTCTCTATTTATACCACAGCCTGGAAAGTTCAACCCTGCAATCCTCTTCACTGTTTCACAGTTTAACTCCAATGTTTTGCTCTCATCCTTCCCCAGTCCCTAAAAGTAGGCTCTTCCTCTGGACGCATGCTGTGATAACAATTCCCCACCCCCTAGTTCTTTTTGAAAACATTACTTTTTTACTCTTTGAAAACCAACACTGGATTTGTATCCCTGTCTGGCATACAGTAGGCTTCTCTTTAAGTCCTACCATAGTTTTATTTTCTAACCTTACTGAACATGTAAACTGCCTTTCTTTTTAAAGCAAATGCAGTATTAATACAGTATTTTGTCAAGATTAAATGGTGAAATAGCTATTAGTTGTGAAAAGGTGCAACTGGTTGAAAGTATTTTTTCACTGTTATCAATGACTTTCAAACTGAAGCTGTATACCTTTTGGCTATAGGGTCTCTTGACTTCAGAATTTACAAAATACCTGACTTAAGTTAAGAAGTTCTGTGAACAAAGGCAAAGACAAATAGGGAGTTGAACCCACTGGTGATTAGAAAAAGACAGACATACATACAGGCAGAGAGACAGGTAGATAAGTTAGACACGTGAATGAATCATTAAGTTCTTTGTAAAATTTGTATTTCTTCACTCTTAAGGATTAGCAAGATTTTGTACATGGAAACAGAAAACAGTTAGAGGCGGATTTTTCATGATTGTATCTTAAATCGAGTCCTGTGGGCTTAGGTAAGCCTAAGGTATACGCAGAGAAGGAAAACAAAATTAATACTGGGAGAGAAAGTGGGGAGTAGGAAAGAAAAAGTGCAAAAAATTACTTTCCTAATCTACAGGGCCCTAGGAGACTGCACACAGGGGCTTCAGTCGTGACTGGGAGAGGGCAGCTCTTCAAGGCCAGCGTGGCCAGCCTGGGGGTTCTCCAGGCTACAGTGCTCTTCCGTGTCCCACGAAACCAAACATGCTCTTCTGTTTACTAACACCGACCAGGAACGCAGGCCACTGACTCGTTCTGATCCGTCTTACAAACGTGACGCCGAGTTACCGCATTTCAAAAGGACATACAGTTATCTATGAACGTGTCTTGGCGACACAGCCAATGTCGGATTAATTAAAGCCATCCTCATCGCTTATGTAACTAACACTGTCAACAGTATCACGTTTCCTGAGTCGCATAGAAGAGCTGGAAGTTTAGCACAAACAAACCCACTTTATTTACGGGCCCCTTCCCCTCCGCGGTGGGGTGGCCGCATCGGTGTTGGGACGCCGCGGTCTCTCGCCGGTCACGCCCGTGCGACCCTCAGCGGGTCAGCGTGCGGGAGCCGTCTCTCGGTTTGCCTTCGAGAGGCCACCGCAGCAAGGCGCCACTCCTCTGCCTCGTCCCCTCACCTGGCAGCCTCCAAAGACTCCACTCTCTCCGCGGATCGCCGCCGGGACCCGCACTCACGGCGCGGACAGGGAGCGACGGTACGGTCTCGAGCCGCGGGGACCGCCCCAGCCCGGCCACCGCCCGGCTCCCGCCCGTGCGGGTCGCTCGGAGCCGGCAGCCGCCGCACAGCAACTCTTGAGCGAACGGATCCCCCGCGGCGTCGCCCGGGCAACCCGGACGCTCAGGCCGCGCAGGGCAGGCCGGGACTTCCGGTCGGCTGGGCATCTTGCCGGGTCACCTCCAGGCAGAGCCTGGGATGTCAAACGACGCGAAAGCGGCGCGGAAAAAATATTTTACTTCCTCAACTCTGATCATACTCGGGTCCCTTTCTTTTCAGGACCTCCAAAACCAAAGAAAAGGCTAGATACCGAGTATCGAGTAGTCCGTTTCCTCGCTGGGGCGGACCCTTAGTTTACAAGATCCTTTGTCATACGTTGCGCTTCGCTCTTCCCTTGGTGTGGAGCAGCTGTTCAGAAAGAAAACGTGTCTGCTTTCCGGAGACAGGCAGCTCCCCATTAGCTTTGGTTCATAAACGCCATTTTCACAATTCAGAAGAGTTGCTTAGCATCTGGGCCGACTCAGTAAAACATTTTTGCCACCCAGTAGGGAAGAAAGTCAAGCAAACACGTAAAAACGGCATTTTTGTCAAAGCTCACTCATTTTGTTTCCAAAAACAACTTTGGGCTTTTTATTATTATTTTTAGCCACACTGGGTCTTGAACTCGGGGCCTCACATTTGTTAGGCTGTTAGGCGCTATCTATCACTTGAGCCACTCCACCAGCCCTTCCAAGACTTAACTTAAAAAGCAATGTAAATATTAATCAACATACAGTACTTTAAGTACCAATAAAAAGCTCACCAGGGCAACTTAGGATACCAAGATTACCCTTCTTCCCACACAGGTGTCTTTCTCTTCCGCTCACACAGCTCAATTCTCTGTCTCCTTCACTTGCTTAGAAATACGTTAAAATCCCCCACTTTAAGCAAAATTAAACTAGAAACGTTTTATCTCCTTCCTCTTCCAGGGCCAAACACACTTCCACTCCTAAACTCACATGCACTCACTTCTGTAAGATTCTGTCCACATCATGCTATCAGTTTCTCAATTACATAATCACATTATGTTCAAACCCAATGGTCTGTCTTCATCTTCATGGTATTTGATTTCTGTCATTTTTGAAATGCTTGTCTCCTAGCTACTTTTCTAATAGCTCATCATCAGCCCACTTTCTTGCTTGTCGCTCTGCTCCACATATTTAATGTCACTGTTCCTGGAACATGCAGTTATTTTTATCAATGTCCAGACTACAGCTTCCCACTGGTTGTCCCCCTGCCTCCCCACCCCCAAAATAAGTTCTTTTTCATCTATCAACAACCTGGTCTACATATCTTTCTACCCAAAGGCTTTCCTTTTTCCAAAGCAGAATTTTTTTAGGTAGACTTTGGTTTCTTTTTTTTACCACTTACAACTATTTGACAGTATCTTTTTATTTTAAAAAAACTATGTTATTTTTAGACAGTCTTGTTATGTAGCCCAGGCTGGCCTTGACCTTGCAATCCCTCCTCTTCAACATCCTGAGAGCAGGGGTTATAGGAGTGTTCCACCAAGCCTGATATATACCTTTTTAATAGTACTTACTGTCACTTACCTTTATTCACCCAAGTATATTCCTTGGCTAAATACTGGCTGGGAATTCCATCTTTTCTCCTGGCCAGCAAAGTGCCTGGATACACTGTAAGTAATCAGTATTAGTTAAGTAAATGTCTCACAAAAGTAAAAAAGTCTTTGTTGAAATGAGCTTTGAGGAGACTTATTTAGTAAGTGTCATCTGTAAAGTCAACTGCATGTAAACTCTTTTATCCTTAATACAGAACACTTTGAATAAGAAAAATGCTTTTTGGTAAATCACAAAAGATAGGAATTTCTCTTGTGGCAGAGACAATGAAAATCATTATTTGCAATCCAGATCCTGGAGAAAAAAGTTTCAGAGAAAAAAACACTACAGTGCATTTCAGTGGGCAGTGAATGTAACTGTCTAGCGTAGTTGTTAAATACATGCCTAGGCTCCAATCTTAGCTCTACCATTACCAATACGGGCCTGGGCAACTTCTGTGCCTCATGTTTCTTCATCTGTAAAATAGAGTTAACAATACTTTCAGTGATTATCAGGTACCAGATATACTTTCACTGCTTTGCTAGCAATGGTACAAGGTGAAAGGTCTAAATACAAAGCTAACCCACAGGATACAACGATGAAAACTGATAGAACCTATCCATCTCTGTGAATCAGAGACACATGTGCAAGCTGAATGCCAATAGGCCCATAAACAACTGATTTCTTTCTTCTTAAAACCAACATCTACACAATTGGCTAACAAGATAGGTAGCTTGAACTTGAATGAAGATGACTGTTTCCAACATTTAAGTGAGTGATTCTCTGCCACTTGAGTGCATGAAGATCCATACTCAAAAAGTTCTTAGGTGGAGCCTAGAAATGTGCTTTCCAAACTGTCATTTAAGGAAATTCTCTCTGAAGCCAGTGATTGCACCAACTCAGAAACACTGATTTAAACTTAATCTCTACCACCAGAACTCACGCTGTGGTACACATCAGAATAATCTGTATTTTATAAAAATAATGGTTACCGAGTCTTATCCCCAATGATTATGATTTCAGGAATATTTTTTAAGAGGTCATAGGTAACATACAGCCACTTGTATACTTCTAAGTCATTGACAGTTAAATGTGACAATTAACATTTTTTGAGATACAATGACCCTTTATATAACTTGTAGGTCTTGGAAACTAGAAAAAATAATGGTCCAAAAAAAGGATTACCATCCTTGTCAATAAATGATAAGAACAGAATCTTGAGTTCTTGAAAGTCTTTTCCAAGAGTCTGTTTTTTAGCAAATTGATGAAAAAGGTACTAGTAAAAATGTGTTTTTAAATACAGTCACAAGTAGTCATCAATGCTAAGGTTATTCATAATGTCTTTTTTTCTTTGTTTTGGCTCTATCATGAACTTCTGTACCACTTTAGACATGCAACTTTAGTTGATTTCACTCATGTAAATGATTACGGGCCACAGTGATAGCTAGCCGCATAAGCTACAATAGAAATGGCACATACTTACCACCTAATCCAGTTCTTCCCACTTAATCTTTCCATTCCTTACTTCCAGAACTGTACCCCAACACTCTTTCTTCCTGTCTGTAACTCAGGAAGTTACCTTTACAGAAAGTAATGGCAAATTACTTTCTGTAAAGGGTCAGATGGTAAGCATTTTAAGCTTTGCAGGCCACGCAGTTCCTGTGACACCACTCAACTCTAACATTATAGTACAAATGCAGCCATAGACAACAGGTAAATGAATAGGTGGTGCTGTGTTTTAACAAAACATTATTTACAAAAACAGGTACTGGCCTAGATTGGGCTAAGGACTATAACTTGCTGACCCCTGTTCTAACCAAAACAGTATTGAACATTTAATTAATTATCCCGATTAGAAAGATGAAGATTCTATAGAAGGATACTCTTTTCTCAAATGTAGAAATATTACTGGTTCATGAAATTGAGATCACAGATCAAATAATCACGATTTGAAGGACCAGTATTCAATTCTTTAGGATTTAAGTGCCCCCCCAATATGTTTTAGTGTTACTATGTACAGTTTAAGCCAGATGACAATCTACTATACAACAGTATGTTAAAAACATGTTTATTTTACACTATGTACAATCAGGAACATATTTAAACCATCATCATTTAATTAAAATCATTTTAATTAAAATAAATGAAGACCATAAATCACAATTTAGTTTGTTCGTAGTGTGTATACTCACATTAAAATATAAAGAATATATACCAAAAAGAGCCAAAAGTGTGTTAAAACTTGGTACATACATATTCTATTGGAAAAAAAGCAATCAAAAATGACTAACTCAAACTAAGTTCCTGTGATGTGTAGTGACCATTATGTTGTTTGTATGAGGTAGTAACTAAATTATTTTGGCCATGTGTTAATGCTCTAAATCAAAAGAAATACGAAAGTGATCATAAAATGAGGCCAACAAAAGTAAAAACGCTATTAGAATTTTGAATCACTTTGCTCTGGAATGTTATAGTTCGTCGATGTGATTATGTGAAATGTCTAGTGTGGACTCTTTAATAATGCTAATTTATTCTTTGTGCATACTGTAATTCAAACAACAACTGCAGTTTTACCCCAAGGTACCGCTATTCTGTGATTTAAAACTCTTTCAAAGGTATATTTTAAATACAGACAGGTAATCTTGTAGGATTCTGCTTGAATATAAAAGATCAGTTACTACACCAGTGGTTAATTGGTTTGTTTCACATAGTAAACAATCCCAGACACATTTAGAAAAGATGTTGTGGAGCTGAATGCATATTGACAATGTCACAGCTTACTTTTGTGACTTAATACATCACATATCAATACTCTGTGCAAATATAAACACCAGTGTACTCGCATTAAAATTAAAAACAAGATTATAAAATGATACAGTCTCCATTACAATTTTAAAAGTTACAAGATTTATATTCATATTACTAAATTACACAGAATAAAAATACAATAGTGTTAAATGTACTGTTTCATTGCTGGCATCCCATTTTGGAATATAACCACACCCAAGAATATACTAAAGAATTCTTAAAATATTAACCCCAATTGCATTTTATCAACATTTACATCTGTACAGATAAGACACTTGTACATCTCATAAAAGTACATTATCTACATAAATTTTTAGTGTATGTCTTCAGCAATATGAAGTTTCACAGAAAAATACTGCCTATATGTACAAAGATTACATAACAATGAATTAAGCACTTGTGTGGTTCAATATGCTAAATATATCCATACCACTTAAAACAAATATTTTCCCCATCTTGTCTCATGCCACAATAAATTACAAGGAACTGAAGCCAGGTTACTGCAGCTTTTGTACAGCTTCAAGCATCTGTTAATGTTGCAGCGGTAGTGTTTGTTCTTTCTATAGGTAACTGTCAAGCACAACATTTCTCAGTAACTGTTTTCATGACCCGCCAGGATGTATAAATTGCTATTTGCTGTTGGGTTATCAGTTGGCCTACTTTCCAAAACCACGACCCTAAAAGTAATAAACAAACATATAACAAAACAAAGTTATTCTTGAAAATTGTTAGCAGAAAAAAAATTCCATTGCTTCTCTATTAAATGCCTCTATAAACGGTGCTTATTGATTTGTGGGCAGAAATCATTTGCTATCACTACGATTAAAAGAGTCAGCTCCAGCTCTGGGCAGTATTTTGCTGCCCCCTACCCCACCACTAAGCCAGTATTCTTCTAAGAGTTGGGGGTTATGGGGACAATGTAACTAATATACAATATAAGTCTAATTGGAATTGTCACTATGAATTCCCCCCCATATAATAAATACATCCTAATAAAAAATTTATAAAAAATAAGAGTTGGGTGTTAGGGGAGGAGATTAGAGAGGATCATATAATATGGGAATAACTTGAAGGAACTTAAGTCTTATAAATTCTAAAGCAATTTGCAGTCTAAGAATCAGTAGGTGAATCAGAATAGAACTCCAAGACCTTATTTGGCACTAAAACTGAAAAGCTGTTTGCTAACATATGGTTTCCTCTATCTTCTGCTGTAAATCAGACAGCATGCTTCATGCAATAGTACTGACAGATGGACAGATTCCTACTATTTGAAAGGCCAGGTTTTTTGATAGTTTCAAAAACACAATGCTGAACACATTATTGCAGAAATTTCAACTTTGGAGAAAGAAACCAGTTTCATGTTGGATTTAGAGACTACGTTTAGTACTATGCCTTTAAATATAATCCATTTTTCATACCTGTCAGATCCGAGGAGCCTGAAAATTCTTGTGTTATCTGAAATTTCCTGTGTTACCTGTTCAATTAAAACATAAATTTAGTTTCTGAAATTATAGATGCAAAACCTTATATGGACATTTCATTTTGATTTTATAGAAAAAAAAACCCAATTCCTAGGATGGAAAAATAATCCTGCATGACTATCTTATTTATTGTCTGCTTATAAATGTATCAATTCATTAGTTCAGGAAAAATGTGGCTAATTTGGAATTAATCATAAAATACAGGTGAAGGAAAACTACTTGTTAGATTATAGACTTTGAGGAAAAATTAAAATAAAAAGCACTAAATCCATTCTTTTAATCCAAAACAGTTTGCCATTTATGTTAATGCTAACGGCAAGGCTGCTGGTAGGAGCAAACCTTTAGATCTGGTTCTTTCACTTAAAAGGTTGCTACACGGTATAACAGAAAATATTCAGAAGCCAGACATGACTTGAGTTTGAATCTCAGTTCTCCCACTTACTAGGTGTGAAGGTGGGCAAGTATGCAATCTACTGCGAAGTGGGATGGGAAGGATCTAATTTGCAGTGTTCTTCAGTATAGGTGGGTACAAGGCCTAGCTAAGGAGATGCTCAGTATATAATAAACATCTTCCCCATTCTCTTGAAATATTTTTTTGATGAAATATATTCTTCAAGAAGTCCTCAGTGTGACCAACTAACCAGCTGAGTAAAGAATAAGAGTACAAAATACAAAGAAACCCAACGTTCACAGCTTATTGAACTCAAAATATTCCAAATTATAATGGCAGTACTTCTTCCCTGCAAATTGTAGGCTGAAAAAATTTTGATTTATGATTTATTCCATAAAAACCCCTCCAATTAGCTATTCTGGAAATGCCAGTGATTCTTCTGATGTAACCCAGCATACCCAAAGTAACAGTGGCTCATTACAATTCTGATTTCCAGAATATTTTGGGGGTTTACTACTAGAAGAATATGACATTTTTGAAGTGTTGTATTAAAGGGGTAGGTGTAGTTTGAAAACTCCCCTAGATGACTTTGTAGACAAAATTCTCTTTCTTCTTTCTTAAACCATTCTCTATCCTGCCTTTGATGCCTTTCTTTCTGATGAGTATTGTTTAGCTGTCGATTGTTCTTATTCTCCTGCTCCATTCCCTCAGGTGATTTTGAAACAGCTTCTAGAGGTGTAAGTCCTGCTTGTGGGAATTACTGCTAGAAACATATGAACAGGGACCTTTCTTCAATACTTATAGCCCAGGCACTGTGCCAAGTACATTACATGCTTCATTTAATTAATCTTCACGATTCTCAACTCACAGATGAAAAAGCACAAGGAGAGAAGTTAAGTGACATGCCATGGTCACCAGCTACTAACTGAGGTGTTAGAAACTTCAATCTGAATGTCTTAACTCCAGAATGCATGCTTGTGATTACTAAGCTATACATGCTTTAAAAAAAAAAAAAAAAAACTTTTTTTTTGGTGGGACTGGGTTTTGAACTCAGGGCTTTGCACTTGCAAAACATGTACTCATAAAGCAGGTGCTCTACCACTTGAGTCATACCTCTAGTCTATTTTGCTGTGGTTATTTTGGAGATGGGGTCTCATCAACTATTTGCCTGAGCTGGCCTCAAACCATGATCCTTCTCTGATCTTCCAAGTAGCTAGGATTACAGGTGGGAGCCACTGGGTACTTGGCTTAATACCCGCTTGCTTTGTTAGAAGATCTGCTCTGAGCTTTTCCTTTCCTTTCAATAATCAAGTAATACAACCTGATGAAGTAATGATCAAGTGATACTAATGAGACTGGCTTGGGGGACTGGAAGAACAGGATGATTTTTACTTGTGTATACTATTCTAGGGGTAAGTACTTGCTCATGTTTACAACTCTAGCAATTTATGGCACAAATGCTGAACTGAATTAAATATGTCATATGGCTTAAAATGATTTCTATAAGGTAGGAAGGACTCATGAGATAAAGTTAAAGGCTAATAAAAAGGGTCAAAGAATCTCATCAATGTCAAGTGAATAAAGGGAATAGAAATAGGAGGAAAGCCAGCTTAAAGAAAAAAGTAGAACTCTTTACTTATTGCCTGCTTTGGTCATTATTGCTGAAACATAGGCAGAAAATGTGTCTCAGAAAAGAGGGCACCAGCATCAGCACTGGTTCCAGGTCCTGGTCTGGGAAAGGTGAAAGAAATCATAGCTGACTCGCTTGTATTAGGAAGCTCTTGTTTTACGGAAAATATTCCTGGTAGATGCACATGAAAGACACAATGAAGAGGGAAGAAGAGGGTGGGAGAAAGAGGAGGGTTCTGAAGTGAGTACTATCTGTCTTGTCATTAGTTTGGATCCAGTAGACATTAACAAAGTTACTACTGGTGTCATTGAGGAATTTTCCAAAGTGAGAGAACTGTGTAAAGTACATTTCATAATGTTTTCTATTTTAAAACAATTTTTTTTTCAAGGGGACAGGGTCTCTATGTATTGCCCAGGCTGGCCCTGAACTCCTGTACTCAGGTGATCCTCCTGCCTGAGTAGCTGGAACTAGGGGCACATGTCACTGTGGCAGGCTTCTTAGGACTATTTAAAGAACATAATTTAAAAAATATGACTTACCTCATTAGATCTAAAACTTCTACCTTGCATTCCATGTTTCCAGAAAGCTAGCACACTGTCTTGTAGACAAACTAGCAGACAAGAACAGCTCGGTTACTGTTAATAGTACAAAGTTCAACTGATAAGCATCATTTCATCTCTCTTTCTCATTTAGTAATGCTTTAAGTAATAGCTTATGTCAGCTATTGCACATGTGTATGGCATCTTTATATTTGGAACTAATAAAAGACTATACAGGACTTACTCTTTTTTTTGGTAAGAAAAAAGAAAATATACTGAAAATATTTGTTAAAGAAATTTTCATTTTGATAAAATAATTTTAAAGTTTAAAAATACAATATTGTGAACATACAGAAAAGCACAGTAAACAGCAGAAAAACACATGTATCTACCACCTAACTATCAAATCCCAACATCCTGCCACATTTGCTGCTGCTTCTTTTTTTTAGATAAAAGACAAATGTAGCTGGGCATCCTACCTGTCCCCTGATCTCTTCTGGCCTGCCTTTCTCTATAAGGTTCCTGCTATTATAAATTTACTGCTTATCATTCTCATACATTATTTCCACACTGCAAGCTTATGTTATCAATATCAAATTTATATTGAGTGTTTCCAGGTATCATGCGTTTGGTATGAACATTTAAGCTACTTGTAGTTTTCATTATTATAAACAATGCTGCAGAAACTATTCTTACTCATCTTCTTGAAAACATACATGAAACTTTTTCTGTGAGAAGGCACCTAGAAGAAGAAATACTGGGACACAGGGTGCATGTATAAATAAAACAAACTTCAGTTTGATTTTTATAATTGGGTGTCTGTGTGTGTGGTCAGTGAGAAAGAAACCTAATTGTGCAGAAAACTGATGGTACCAACATCACTTACTGAATAGTCTGTCATTTCCCCACTGACACATAATACCATAGTTTCCATTTACATATGGGCCCATTTTCCTTGAATATAATCATTTTAGAATACTGATCCTGTTAGAAATCCTTTTTCAGAAAACACTTTTACCAGGCACAATATGAAAATGGTAAAAAGGAACTTTCATATACTTAAAATTCTCTAACTAGAATATATCAACAGCAAAACACAAAAAAGTGTACTAAGTATCAAATTAAGTACTTATAGACAATCTATAAGAGTTCAGAGGAAATAGGCATTTATAACTATGTTGAGGGAAATAATATTTATTTTTTTGAAAATGCCAAATCTGTAAGGAAGGAAGTATTTACACTATAATTATTGAATGAGTATTTTAAAGTCTGTAAGAATGAAGGCTGATAGTGATCTTATATTCATATCCTATATTTTAAAGCCCTTATTAATAGACATTTCTAATTCCAGTAATTATTAGATCGCTTTAAGCAGTTCACAATGCAAAGAAATACAAAACATTGACTTACCTATAGATTCAATTTGGAAGTCAAAGGTGAGTTCTGATGACAATTTTCTACTAGATTTTAATCTGCCTTGGAGATTTACTATTTTTATACAACCTGGAGAAAAATAATAGTCACTCAAACACTAAGATAAAAGAAATCACATAAAAATAAAATATTTACAGATTAAAAAACTTACAGTCCAAACAGACAAGGATGGTATCTCTCTCCAGTTGGGTTACATGAGTAACATTTGTCTGTGGGTTATCTACAACACAAACAAAGGTCAATGAACTTACAGAAAAGTATTGTATTTATAACATAGAGACATTAAAAAAAGATTCGAAGGATGCTGCATCTGAAATGGATGCACAACTTCTGTAAAACATGTATAGTGGTTCGCCAGACCACTTGGGTTCTAATGCTGATAAGTGCTCCAAATAGTAAATATAAGCTCCCGTCACTGTTACTTGTAATGACATTATTAATTTTTTTTTTGCAGTACTGGGGATTGAACTCAGGGTCTCATATTTGCTAGGCAAGCACTCTAAAACTCCAGCTATGCCCCTACTCCTTTTGCTTTTTAGTTTGTTTTTCAGATGATGTTTCTCAGTAACTTTGCCCTGGCTGCCCTTGAACTCTGCCTCCTGAGTAGCTGGGATTACAGGCGTGTACCACCATCTCCTGCCTGTGATGCATTACTTTTATTTATATTTTAAGTTTGGAGTCTAATATTCTAAATTATGGTTACGATTGATTTCTAATTTTTAAAATCTGAAGGTCTGGACTGTGCTTTGTCCATCATTATATGCAGGTGACTAGCATATGCAATAAATATACATTGAGTGAATTGGAGAATCAAATTATTTTTAGTACAAATAAGTTAAAAAATACGAAAGCATTTTGAGAAGCATGAAATTTTACCAAATTGCAGAGGCACTATTTTTATTACAATAATTTATCAAGTTTTATAAAAACTGAAAATGTTGAAATGACTTGGTTTTCATTTAAGTGAAAACTAAAACTGTGTATCAGAGCTTTTTATAAACATCAAAACCAAATTGCTGAGTTGTAGTTCTTTGTTCCTGGTCTCATACTCCTTGGACAATGGGTGTGATGGATGTGCTGTACAGTCTACCCGGCCTGTTTTCTACTTCTCACTGTACTTAGGGAGACTTACGGTTAGAGCCTGTCACATTTTGAAGCTGGTACTGTTGGAACTATCCAGGGTTAGAAGGATATGGAATAGGCCTCCTGGAGGTCAGGCCAACCCGGTCAACTGTAGCTCTTACAAAATTGGAGAAAATGAAGACTCTCAACATGTTTAGAGAAGGTAGTCAGTCTACCAACACCAGACAGAAAGCCAGGAAAATGCAGTTTCGTTGCTTATAACAATTACCTCTACATACTAGAATCATCTTTAAAAGACCGATGTCTGGCTAGTGGAGTTTTTTTTTTTTTTTTCATTTAATTGGTGTGAGTTGCAGTATCGGAAGTCTTACACCCTAATCATTTTCTCTTATCTTTATCTCAGGATCACAGAGAGATGAATTACACTTGCCATATGTAGGAATGTACTGGGGTGAGGTCACGTGAAAGTTCTTTGGTAGAAGCTACTTATTCAAGCTATAAAAAATTCTTTTGTCAGGAAATGAAGCCCTTCAGTTAAAAGTTGGAAAGGGTTTAAAATTAAAATGTTTGAGGGAACGAAGATACTCGTGGGAACTCACTGACAACAAAGTACTTACCAGTAACAACCCCTTTCTGTTAAACAGAAGGAAGAGAATGGAAGACAGGCATGCACCAGCTGTCAGAAAGGCAAGAGGTTGGGCAGAGAGAATGCAGTCGAGACTGGGGGAGCCAACGTCAGCCATGTCTTCTTTCAATAGTGTGTCCCTGAAGGAAGCCTTGTTCAAGTTTCATGTGGTGTTTAACATCCTGGCTTCAGCATGGATTTATCTCTATGCTTTTGTGAATGCATTTCTAATTATTTTTCATTAGTACATAAAGCATCAGTTCTGTATTTTATTTCTTTTTATTAACCATCTTCCAGGTTTCCCACAAAATCCTGCCTAATCAATATCTTACTGGCAAATTGTTTCTTTAACATTTCCCTGACTGACAAGGGGCTTTTACATAAAGTCTGCCATTTGAAGTAGCCACTGTCTACTGTACAGAAAAAATACTTTTAAAGAGGATCAAAAAAGCAAAAAGGAAGACATTATTTTATTTTTAGAATAAAAGTAAAGATTAAAAAGACCTTTACAGGCTTTTTGTTTTAGGTATGTGTGGTACTGGGGTTTGAACTCAGGGCTTCACACTTGCTAGGACAGGTGCTCCACCAATCGAGCCACATCCCAGGATCTTTTTGCTTTTCAAATAGGGTCTCATGGTTTTGCCCAGGTTGGTCTGCATCACGATTCTCCTATTTATGCTTCCTGCATAACTGGGATTCCAGGCATGTACCACCATGCCCAGCCTAAGGTCATGTTGCTTAAAAGTGAGAGTACAGTTGATTTATTTACCATAAATGTTACATTTTACCTATATTATTTTGCCACAACATAGTAAGAAAGTTTCAAAATATAGTCACATTTTTGTAAAAGTTCATCATTTGGAATTAATATATGCTATAACAAGGGTAAACAGCTATGAAGGAAGGGTCTGCCATGCAACCTGACAATGTAGATCAATATTTAAGGAAATAAATTAGGGTCTGGTGGAGTGGCTCAAGCCTTAAGAGCGTTTGCCTAGAAAGTATGAGGCCCTGAGTTCTAATCCCAGTGATGCTTCCCCCAATATATATATAAATTGTATAAGAAAATTGTTTTCAAATACCCTCATGAATACTTTGGAAGTAGCTGTTTACTTATAATGTGTATCTTAATTGTAAATCGTTAAAAAAATTTATCAAGGATATTGGATACCATCAGTAATTGCCATTGTAATCCCAGCTACTAGGTAGGTGGAGGCAGAGGATTGTGAGTGGCAAAATTAGCAGGACCCTATCTCAAAAACACACATGAAACAAGAGGGGTGGCAGCATGGCTCAAGTGGTAGAGTGCTTGCCTCACTTGCACAAACTCTGGGTTCAATTCCAAGTATATACCAGGTAACAAAATACACTTGAACTATCCTGTAATGTAGTTTTTCCTCTTTTTTTTTTTTATTCACTTGAGATTTGTATATAAGTGTAGTTCCCAAAGTATGACTGAGGTTTCAACATCACCAGCATCACCTGGGAATTTACCAAAATGGTAATTCTCAGGTCACACTCCTGGCCTACTGAATCAAGAGTCCTGGTGGTACACAGTGATGTGTCTTAAGAAGTTTCCTGGTGTTTCTGGATGCACACTCAAGGTTGGGAACCACAGATCTGTATTAAATACTCAATGATCACTTTTACAAACATTCTCAGTAAAGTGATGGAATGTGATTTTAAAAAGGTAAAATCACCTTATGGTTGTTGGAGAGGAAGGACAACTGGAGTTGTGTAATACGCAAATTTTCAAGTGTACACCACTTAAAATTACCACAAATACTGGAAAATCCTTAAAGTTATTAAGTGCTCAGGTTTTGTTTTAAATGCTCCCTTTATAATGATTTACTTTCCTATTAACAGCAGCATTAAACAAGGGGATGCATATAGTGCTTTAAAAAGTAATTGTGACTTTAATGGTTACTTATATAGTGTCCTTTCAGATAACCTGCTATTTAAATGTCCTACTGCAGCTGGGTGCTGGTGGTTTATACCTGTAACTCTAGCTACTTGGGAGGCTAAGATCAGGAGCATCATTGTTTGAGACCAACCCTGGCAAATTTGAGACCCCCATCCCCAAAATAACCAAAGGAAGATGGGACTGGAGGCATGGCTCAAGTGATAGAGCACCTGCTTTGCAAGCATGAAGACTTGACTTCAAACCCCAATCCCACCAAAATATAAGATAAAATAAAATGCCCTACTTTAGTCATACGTTTCTGTCAAACAATTCTGGTATGTATCTCATTTTACAGTAAGAGATGTGTTCTTGTAGAACTGTTTATTAATATGTACCAAACACAATTTCTTAGGATCAAATCCTTATTATACTCATTCCTAAATTTACAAAGTACATGCGGTCTCCACATACACAAGCTTTGCCAATCATTTTAAATGTGTCAAATGAATTAGCTATTTTAAAGCAAGCCATCTCTTCTTCCAACTTACTAATGTAATTTAAGACTGGTTTTCTAGACAGTTTTTGCTTACTGAGAAATATAGTAAACTAATTATTTATAAAACCAGAATATGCATTGGCCTTAATAATTACATAAAAATCACAAACCTGACTCTGTAAACCATGAAGAGGTAGAATTTGGATTGACAGTCTCAAATCGAACCACCTGGTTGAAGTCTCGCCCTTTACTGACTCCAACACAGACTAAAGGGTACTCCTGCTCAGGAACTACCAGCATCTCAAACATCCTGAGTGGACACGGGATAGGAAAGTCTATGTGCTAAAGAAAGAAACAAAAATACATTAAATAAAGGAAAACAAAAGCTAAAGAATCTTAAGCGAACAGTAGTGAAAGTTCTTAGCTTTACAAAAAATATCTAAAATAGCTTTCCACCATAAAGATTGCCTCTTGTCACAGAAATTCAAAAGTGCACAGACAAATCCAAATTATGAACTGTCTTTTACTACAGTACAAGTTTTAAGTTAAAATTATATAATTTTAGGATATTAGGGCTGGAAGGAAACTCATGAGTCACCTAGCCAACCCTCTCTTTTCACAGCTAGAAAGTGAGGTACAGGAAGTGAGTGGCCCAGCATCAACCCCATCCTGTGTGGCAGTCTCCTGCCTCCTAGTTCTGTGCTTCCTCAGTTATATACCTCTGCTTTCCTTAACTGAGCAAACACAGACAAGAGACATGAAATGCTAATTAGCACAAGACATATATGGACAAAAAAAGCCACAAGAGAAATTTATTCCCATATATCCAGTGATTTTTATTCATTAAACTAACTTATAGTCATAAAGCAATCAATTTTATGTGACTTTATAATTATTTTTATATTGCTACAAAGACAACAAATAAATTCACATTTTGAAGATTCAGAAAAATAGAAAATACTAATTTCATCAGTAATCAAGGAATAAAACCATATGGCTACTAAGCATTACCTACGAGAATGGCTAAAATGGAAAAGAATGACAGTAACATGCATCAGAGAGGACTAGATGAATGCTCAACACTGATGCTGGCTCATTATTATGTTGAAAGATATATTCCTTATGAGCCAACAATAGTATTCACAGGCGTACAGACTAGATAGAATGGGTACAACGCATGGGAGACAAATGCACATATAAGCATTACAAGCATTACTCATAATCACACAAGACTGCAAACAACCCAAATTCCTATCAACAGTAGAATGGATACTCACACAATGGCAAATTACAGAGCAATGAAGACAAACTATAGCTATGGTCAACCACAACATAAATACAATGTTGCACAAAAGGAGCCAGACACAATAGATGAATGCTGATTCTACTTTTACACTGTAAAATCTGGTAAAATCAATTTTAGTGTTTAGGATTCATGCATATAAAGTAAACCAGAGTTAAGAAAAGCAAGGATTTTCTAGTTTTTTTCTTTTTTTGTAGGAAGAGAAGGGAGCTGACCAGCAGGGAGTTTTCTTGGGGACTTAGGAGGAGGTTTTTCACAAAGTAGTTGTTAAAAAATCAGTCTCATACATATTTTGCTAAGTTCATTCTAATATTTTATTGTTCTTATAAGTGGGTTGCATTTTCAATGTCTTTTCCAAGTGGTTATCTAATATTTAACAAAGCTATAAATATGACTTAGTAGCTTCTTTTCAGTTTCGGTAGCTTTCTTTCAGTTTCTTTTCAACTGGGCAACTCATAAATTCTAAAGAAAATAAAGCACAGTCCCTGTGCCTGGAAAGCATAGCTCACCTGGTGCCCCAGAGTCCTCCTTCCCTGAGGCTGTGGGAAAGCCTCCAGCCCAGGGCACAGACACCTTACCAACACTCACCAAGCTGCCTCTCTGGAAGCTCTCCCTTTACCTGGGGCACTTTGAATAAAATCTGTCCTATTTTTAATAAGACAAAACAATTTAAAGAATTCACTCTGAAATATGACAAGAGCAATATTTTTTTTCTCACCATATAAGAAAGCCACTTCTAGTATTTAGCTTCTAATAATAACTAAGCAGTGTGTGTAAGACACCAATGGGATAGGATTCTTGCCTTCTGGTTTTAAATCCAAGTGCTATTGGGAAACTCCTATATCTTACTCAGTTTTTCTCTACCTAGCACCATGCCTAGTTTATAGTGAGTTCATATTGTCTGCTGGAAAGATCTTTAATTTCTAAGTTTTATTTATGATAAAAATGAAGCAAAACCTGCCAGAAATGTCACTAAAAGGAAGAATACGGAAAGTACAAGAATGTTTCTGAATAAATCTAATAAACATCATAAATGCTAACTGAAATATTATCTAATACAGAAACAAAACAGACAGATAAAAGTATTCAAGCAGAGAGACACAGGAAGGGATATTAAATTAAGGTAGGGAGCTAAGGGCATACAATTCAGGGAATTTAAGGAAATGGCAAATGTGAGATTGTCCTGCAGAAGACCCACAGATGAGCTTCACTGTCAGTCCACTGCCTCACTCAGAATGCTGACAGCAGGCCTCATTAGTCAGAGCCAGGCCAAGCTCACTGGTGCCATGCACTTATAAAAAGAGAAGGAATAAATGGGTGATTTTTAAGCTTTCCATGTCTTCAAAGTATATATTCTTTCCTGCATGCTCTTAAAGTTACTCAGTATATATGAGTTAACTTTAGTAAAAGGCAAAAGACTTATGCAATCTGAAGAGAAACCATACATGAATAACTGATTAATGAATCTGTTACATTTTACAAGAGTTAGGAATGAAAGGATTAGGAAGGATTTAACTAGTAGACTATGGAGGAAAAGAAGGAAGAAGAGAGGGCAGGAAGGGTTTGTAGAAAAATCAAACTACAGATTTTACTGCTCCATTTAGGATAGGACATCATTTTGTCAAGTAGGCAAGAACAAAGAAGAGCCGAGAACAAAACAATTTTTTTTTTTTTTTTGCCACAAATGTGCTGTATTCAGTGGCTCTGCTATACGAAAAATTTTAAGGCTATTTCCCCTTCAGTTTTTGGTTTAAAGAATTTGTTTCAGTGTCTGTATTGGTGAAATCATTACATCAATATGTTTCAAGTTCTTGAAACTTTTTTCATCTCTTTAGCCCCAGTTAAGCTTAAGACTAATAATAATGTGAAACTAAAATAGACTTTAGTCACTACAAGACTTTAAATAACAGGAACTCAATTCTTATAACATCCTAGATCAATTTAGAAAGAATTCTACTCCAGTTATAGTCTGACTTCAATTTCTACTGAGGGATCAAATGCTCATGAAGCAAAGACTACTTAATTCATATACAAAAGCAAAGAAAACAACTTTTTAAAATCCAATTGGTATTTCCTTGGTGTAACTGATAGATACTTAATACATTTTAAAAGTTTTCCTCCCCAAATTAAAGGTTACTCATTAGTCACAGATTCTAAACAAACTTAAGTCAAACATCCAAATCTAAAAATATCCATGGGAAGACCCAGGCAAATTAATACACATATATATAACCAAAACAAATCATTTCCCCCTCATTATGGTCATTCCTTATCCTCTTAGTCAAACACTACCTTACAGGTTGTCTCTCTGTTGTGATGGAGCAAGTCAAACATTTCCTGGGTTGCTTAGCATGCCCTTTTGACACTGGGCTTCCAGCTCCCTACTACTGTTACCCTTGAGCTATTTCTCTAGTCTCAAAACTTTCAACAGGCCATCTGTGTTCTTTACAACTGGGCAGATTTTCAACACCCTGCCACATAATCTAAAATCATTAAGTTACCTTGAGAATTAGCTGAATAATTTTTTTCTTTTAAAAAACAGAAAAGTTGACAATTAAGCTTTCATACTAAGAATGTCACAGGTTGACTTTCATGCTTACCTTTATTAACATAAATTTCTGCATTGGTTCAACCCATTCTAATAGAACAATGCTAGTCTGAAGTGCCCCGCATAGATATTTATGGCCTGTATAAGGATTTCTCACTGTCAAGGCAAAAAAGTAAACATGAGTTCTCTTATAAAGTCCTTAAAATAATAGTTGTATGTTCCAAAAAAATAGAAATTAAAAAAAAAATCAAAAGCTAGTTGCCAATTTGATTTTAATTAGATAGCAGCATGAAAAAGAAATACTGTTTCAGGTAATAACAAGAAGTTCCCTCATCACTTCAAGGATTTTTGCTTGTATGCACACATGAACAGGGGGTCAGGAAGGACCTGAAGTGTAAGGAAGTTAGCTGAGGTTGCACCATTCTGAAGAAAGGGTCAGAGTGAACTTGGGGAGAAGTTGTCAAACTGACAGGACACACATTCAGATGGATCACAGGAGGCAAACAGGCAGGAATGTTCAGAGAAAAAATAACACTTTGTTTCTTAAAAAAACAAAAACAAAAACAAAAAAACCTGCCTATCTCTCCCCTTTTTATTAAACTCCTATGGGTCACTGGAAAACATTACAGATGTAAATGAAATCTTATTAATACAAGTTTACAGATAATGCAATTGAATCACCTCAGATTTTGGATTTTTTTTCTGCTTAAGATATTTGAAATAAAGATTTAAAACTGTAAAAAGGGTAACAGCAATAAAATCCATAAAGTTCATATAAGTCTGAAATAGTTAAATGGCAGAGAGGCAGTGAACAGCAGAATCTATTCAGGAAATTAAGTTGCAAGAAAATCCGGTCCCTTTCTCCTCATATGAGCCATTAGCCATTACTCAAAATACCATGTCTAAACTCAATTCTGTCACCCTTCTTTGCCCCAAATCAGCTGCTTTTCCTGCTTCCCATGAGCAGCAATTAGCCACTCTGCCAGCCTTCTGGGGCTCAGATGTTTCTGACATTTTCCCTTTTTCCCACTGTTGTTACTCCATCTCAGGACTTCCTTCCTCATCGTACAGTGAATAAAGTTCATGTTCACATGAACCTCCACATTCCAATCTAACCGTGTCTATAAATTTGTTTTACTTAGGGGGAAATAAACTATTCCTGGCAGGATGTCTTGGGGTATACTGTTTTATACTACATTTAAAAACAAGCCTCATAGGTTTCCATAGTGACTTTGAGAAAGGCAAGAGCTGGCAATGAAAGTTTACTTACCAACACAACACTTCTGACACCACTTGGTTTCAGGAATTTTTGCTGATACAGCAAATTTCCTAAATGTGAATGAAAAAGAGTATATAACACACGCAGGCAAAAACAGTACATGCTGTTACAGATCAGTGGAGAAAGAATGAGTTAAAAAAATGGTCCTGATAACTCATATATCAAAAATAACATAATGGATCCCTTTATTCATATTCCCAAATCAACTCCAAATGGACTATGGATTCAAATATTAAAAAAAAAAAGGAAAAAAAACCTTGCAAAGTACTTAGAGGACAGAAATGATAAGACCTTAGGACATAATGATTTCTATTAACTCAAACTGAGTATTCTCTTACTTTCTCTAGCATAAATATTTATTAGAATGAATTAATGCCTGGTTATCTCTAAGAATATACAGTTACCTTGGCAGAATTCTGTCAGGGAGTTTGTGTGCTGGAATAGAAACAGGTAACTTCTGCATTTGTCTTGCATAATCAAAAAGCCCTGGCAAATTATGGGAATAAAGCTGAGAAGCTTTACCTGTGAAGAAAATAAATACAACATTGGAGCAAGCTTTCTCTCACTTCTGTTATTACTGAACCTAACTGGGGGTGATGGGAGATGCAGAAAGGATAAAGGATAGACAGACATACAGAAAGTTGGGGCAGATGAGCTGGGTGCTCAGATGGAGATGCACAATAGCCTTGTTGCTTCTTTTCTCTATTAACACTTCTTTTACTTAGCTTCTTTTCTCTATTCTCTTCTCTATTCTTTAAGGCCTTACTCCTTTACAATTCTTTAAGACCTTGCTTCTAAAAGTCGTCTTTTCTATTCTTTAAAGTCTCTTTCCTTACACTTGCTCTGTCCCATGTTTTCTTTAGCTGTTCTTTAGCATAATCTCTCTTAGAGTCTTTGCCCTCAGACTTGCACTGTCCCATGTTCTCTTTAGCTTTTCATTTGCTTAGCTTTTCTAAAGTCTACATATAAAGTTCTTAGTGCAGAAAGCTGCTTTGGCAGAGACACACAACAGCCAGCATCAGTGGCAGCCAATCAAAATCCTCCCATCAAAAAACCTTGTGCCCTCCTATACAGTGGTAAACAAGTGGTGGAGCAACAGTTCTCCGAAGGGGGTGACATTGTAACAGGAGAAACTTGCTTTCCTACTTCTCTGAATGTAAACAACTTGAGAAAAGCCGCTGTGCTGCATCTCACCTAGGGTTCTCATAATCCGCTCCCCACACAACATAAGGGCTAATAACAAAGCAACGATAATTGTTTAAATATGTAACAACTAAAATACTTACCAGATATCGATAGCAAGCAATTGTTCATTACATACAGCCATGTACACTTTCGAGGGAAGAGCTGGTAAAAAAAACATACACAAAGTTTATGAAGGAAAACACCTAACAGCAATGTAAATACGTACATATTAACCAAGTAAGCTGTCATAGCAATAGGCCGGTTCTTTAAAAAGTAACTTTATTTTTAATGGAAATTTATTTTTAAAGTACTGTAAACAAGAAGATATACATACATACTTTTATGTGAGGAAAAAATTAGCAATACAATTTCAGTCTAAACATGGGATGATTAGCTCAAATCGCTCTTGTGATGAGGACTATGCAACCCCAAACATCTATTCCTTTATTTGGTTCTGGGGCTGAGTAATTAAGACTCTCATATGCACAAGCATGTAAGATACAGGAAAAAAAAGAGATGGTGATGTAGAGGAACACAGGATATGAAAACTTAAGTGATGAGAGGGAAAAAGGCTGAGAGAATCTGATAAAAATTTATCAACCATACAAGAGACACACACGAACACACATGCACATGTATACACACATGGATGCGCACAGAATTCATTACCAAAATCTAGTACATAAGAACTGAGAAGTGTATCTGGAAGCTTGAAAATAGTATTTCAATCAACAGACTTTAAAGGAAGAATGTAATCACCGTCATAAGACATTTCATTTTGAGTATCAATGGTTTCAGCAGCACTGGCATTACTGGCCACATGCTAGAAATGCCAATACTCAGACCTCATCCCATATCTACTGAAACAGAAATTCTGAAGGTGGACTCAACAATCTCTGTTTTAACCAGACCTCCTTGCAATTCTAATGTATACTGAAGTTGATAGGCACTGATGTAGGTAATTAGGTGTCTTGCTTGACCTAACAAGCTGGGTTGCTGGATTTTCTCTGGCAATTCCTATAGGTTACTCCAAAATGGACTGAGATGAGGGTAGAGAATAGGATGACAGATGAACGATGAAACATATAAAGCCCTCTAAGGACATCATTTTATTAAAACATGAAGTGATATTGTTGGGCCTGAAAAATTAAAATGAAAATGTAATAATAAAAGGGAGGAGAAACAAAGTAAAATTTACGTTAATATAATTTTTTTTGGTGATTGTACCCAAGGCCTCATGCTCCATACCTCTTGTGCCATACACCCAACCCTTTTGTTTTTGAGATAGGGTTTTGCTAACTTTGCCTGGGCCAGTTTTGAACTCTTAATCCTCCTACCTTCACCTGTACTTGGCATTACAGATGTGTAACACGATGCCTGGCTACATTAGTATAATTTAAATAAATAAAATCTAATTACCCACGTTTCATTTATTTGGAAGATATGCTCAAAAAAAAGCATTTCTCTGACCAAGGAGAATATGGCCATTGCATGTAGCTTAAAAATCTGCAACAAATGTCTGCTGCTAATTGTGCTTCAAACTGAGAAGATTTCAACACTCCCATGAACACTCAAACCTCACTGTGACTAACTGGAGGCATCATCACTCCTCTTGCACCAACTGCTCCTCTAAAAACTACAGTCTGTCGTGCACCCAGTCAGTCAAGTTGGAAACCCGACATTAATGGAGACTTCTCCTAAGCTTCCATGTTGAACTGCTCATTTGATTCGGCCAATTCTAACTCTTATCTCTCTCTAGGTCCAATGATTCTCTACAGGAGCCCGGAACAGGGAGAGGCAGTGCGGTGAAGTGGTTAAGGAAATGGACTCTGGAGCCAGCTTGCCTGGGTTTGTTCTCCAGTTCAGCCACTCAGTAGCTGTGCAATGTTTGGAAAGTTACTAGACACTTTCCGTGTCTCAGTTTTCTCACTTGTGAAATAATAATAATAATGGTATCTATCTCTCAGAGATTTCATGGAAATTAAATAATACATGACGAGCATTCAAAAACAATGTCTGGCAAATAAATAGTAAGTTTTTTTTTTTTTTAAATAGGTATTTGTTATTAATCTTGTCATCATTATATCACTTTTACAGGCTGTCTTTTGTTTCTGACTCCTGGGTGCTAAATGTGAAAAGCTTCCATTAGTTATTTTGACAATGAAAAATGTCCTTCTCCCCCATATAATTATTATTCCAAACCCCATCTATTCTTCTCTGTCTTCTATTTCTGCCCACACTTTTACCCTTTGACCATAAGTCTCTAGTCTCATCTTCTAACACACTACAAACAGGTATTTCTAAAACATAAATATGATTATACGTGGTGCCCAGAGCTCTGGGATTGGCAGCTCCTTACCTACCAGTGGCACCTACTGTAACTGTTCTAGACTGCAGTCAAATTGTCCAGTCACAGCTCCCCACACTGGCCATGCTATTTTATAACTTCATGTGACATCATCTGTTCTCTTTTGTCTGTCTGGCAAATTAATCATCATCCCTCAAGGTCTATCTCAAACACCCTTTTCTTTTTTTTTTTTTAATTTTTATTTTATTCATTTATGCATACAATGCTTGGGTCATTTCTCCCCCCTTCCCCCACCCCCTCCATTACCGCTCACCCCACCCCTTCCCTCTTCCCCCTACCTCCTCGCTACCCGGCAGAAACTATTTTGCCCTTATCTCTAATTTTGTTGAAGAGAGAGTATAAGCAATAACAAGAAGGACCAAGGGTTTTTGCTAGTTGAGATAAGGATACAAACACCCTTTTCATGTCCTCTGAGGAGGTACTGGTGACATCTACCTCCATGGCCTATATCTTGTACTCATTCTTAGTGTGATGCATAACCCTAAGCCCTGTAATTACTGATTTATATGTCTGTTTCCCTAGAACATCATGAGCTACTCAAGGGTAAGAACTAGTTCTGAAAATGTGTCTTCAGTATAACCAGATATACTTCATGCTCCATGAAGGTCTTATGAATAAAAAAGGCACCAAATCATAAAAATGAAACTTACTTCTGGCCTGGTGTCTATTTGTAATAACTTAAAAATAAAATAATGTACCAAGACATAAAGTAACATACCTGTTCCATTGATGTTTCATGAAGCTCATTAAGATTAAGGGTATAAATCCCTTCTTCAGCACCAAATATCAAGTACTGATCTGAAATAGCAAAAAATACTTTACTAATTGATTTCAATAAAATATTTTAAAAGAATTCTTTTTGTTGTTTTTGAGAGACTGGGGTTTGAACTCAGAGCTTTGCACTTGCAAAGCAGGAGCTCTACTGCTTGAACCACAACTCCAGTCCATTTTGCTCTGATTATTTTAGAAACGTGATCTCATGAACTATTTGCCCAGGCTGGCCTTGAATAGTGATCTTCTTGCTCCCAGCCTCCCAAGTAGTTAGGATTACAAATGTGAGCCACCAGTACCTGGCTAAGGAACTGTATAGTCTAAAACTCAGTAAATATATTAACTATAAGAAAATTAGTATATTTTAAATTTTAATGCAAAGAAGAGAGTAGACATTTGAAACTCAGGAGTTGAGATATATGTAAATATGAGCCTCAAAGGAGTGAAGAAAATGCTGTAGGAGGGAGCTTTTGTAGAGTGACAATAATGGACTCTTCACTCACCAGAGGGTGCTACTGACTGGCAATTCCTTGAAGAGCGGATTGTGTGAAAATAACATATACAATGTAAATCAAGAATGACTAATACATATTCAAAATATTTTTACAGAATATTATTTTTTCTAGGCTATTATCATAACTACTAACATCAAAAAACCAGGATCTGACCACTGCCTATTAAAAACCTGGGTACCTGCTAGGCTACTCAGTATCTTCTAGAAGATAACAGAAGCCTGATAATGTTCCTGTTTAAACAGTTTTTCAAGTATTATAAAAGAACCAGCCAAGGGTTTCTCCAGGGCTAAGCTGAACTATGCAGAGAACAACTTGGACTGTCAAGAGACATTTAAGATTAGTACTGCTAGCATGAGATTTGTGAACAGACAAGACTGGGTTTTAACTGCAGCTCTCTACCATCAACTGGCTATGGAAGAGTGAATCTCTCTGTCAGTTTCTCTGTCTGAAATAGAAGCACCTACCTAGGACTTTGAGGAGCTTTGATAAGAATACATGTGTTTTTATAAACATGTTCACTGTGTTTCTACATAGACAGGTACTGGAGATACAGATACATGACAAGAGCACAGAGTCCTTAGTGACTAATTATTCTGATTATGACCCTTTGCAAGTTACAGGCCCCTGAAGTGGTCTTTAGACCCGGACCTTCGGTGGCTAAATTCCTCCAGTAATGGCTATCTAAAACAAACAATAAATATACTGAACCACTGTGCAACAGGAGTAGAGGCGTTTCTGGAGGAAATCAGGGTGGCATAGAGTGTATGGTTTTATTATACTGACATGGTGACTACAGTGAAATTTTAATGATATGTCACCTCAAATACTGGTAACCTTAAAATTTAAACAAATAACAAAAAAGTTAACAAAACTTTTTTTAAAAAGATACTCAGAAAATGAATAAAGTGAAATGCTTTTATAGCCCCAGCTAGAAAAACGAAGAAAGATGACAGATAAAAACACATGGCACTACCTCTTGTATCTGGGTTTATCCAAGATGTTGCACAGTGAATTTTCAAGGGACACCCATTAAAAACCTTTGAAAAACATGCACCCATCTGAAAAACAAAGAATAATCAAAATGAAACACAGACAAACAATGTCCTTAATACAGTATAGAAAATACAGTTATTCTGTATTAGTATCAAAGACTACAGAGGATATACTAAAATTAAGAAAACCTTCAAGTTCATGAATAAATGTGTCAAATCAGTCACTGATTTGCAACTTTTTTGCAAGGTATTTTTTTTTCTGGGCTATTATTATCAATTTTTTTTAGTAGCACAAACTTTCTAGGTACAACAATGAGTTTTACTTGATACAAAGAGAAAAAATTCATTTGATTTTTTTCAATCTTTTCAACTAAGTTAAAAAACAGTAATCGATCCTGAAAAATAATTTGGTTGTAAGAGTATCACTTCCTTACATGCTCTCTATTAGGCAATACAATATTCTTGATAACAAGGAAATAATTATCTCCACAAAGTTAGAATTTATCTTATTTGGTTTCATGATAAATGATATTAATCATTAAAGCAGTATGGTTAATGTGAAATTCATGAATGTGCTGCAACCTTTGTGAGAGCAATCTGATCATTTATTATTCATTAAAAATCTTTCTCTTTGATGTTATTAATTTATCAAGAATATTAAAAATCAGATACTATAATGAATATAATATTCATTTGAACTGCACATTTTCAAGAAAAACATTAATTTTGAAATTATCAGTTTTGGTTACCTACTTCATGTAATCACATTTATTACTGACAACTTGAGGCAAAGATAGAACAAAAATATTTAGTCAGATGAAAGTTCCTAAATTAAAAGAGCAGCAATGTGTTTTCACAAACATGGAGGGAACATGCTGAGAGCTGGCTACCATGGATTTAAAATATTAGTATAAAACAAACAATCAAAACAAGAACCTAAAATTCTCTTTTTAATTACAGAAATATACTAACCAATATGCTTTCATATTGTAGAACCAAAAATAACAATGTGGCTTGGCAATACCATAGGTGGTGGAAGACCTATGCTTTTACGGCATAGGGCAGAAGCCGTATCGCGTAAGAAAACATAATCAGTACCTTTCAAGATGGCTAACAAAATTTGTACGGTTAGCACTGCTAACCTCTAAATATCTAAATGATAAAATAAGGAACAAAGCCATCAGGCCAACCTTAAGGTAGTTCATATAGCTGAATTCTACATGGCAATCCAGTTATCAGCTTTTCGCTGTCAAACTGCACACGAAGTCAAAGTTTTAACCAGAGAGGAAGTATGCTCTGTTACATCTATTTCTCTGCTATAATACAATATTTTTAAATTACTCTGAAATAGTTTGAAAATATTTATAATAAAAATATAATACAAATTATAAGTGTATATGCTTAATCTATACTAATTTTAAAAAGTAAAATTAAAAAGCAAAAAAGCTAAAAAGCAGAATTGGCATGCTTAAGGACATCTAAACTAGCAGATTTATAGCAATGGAAATGTAGTTCTATCTATACAAAAGCACAATGATTTAATATAACTTTATTTCATAAAAAGACAGCATGGTCATATGGTCTAGCAATTTTACAAACAAATAAATAAAAGGAAATGAAAAACCTATGTTGGAAAGACATCGACACTCATGTTTACTGCAGCATTATTCACAATAGCTAAAATACAGAAGCGACCTCCATGTCTATCAATAGATGAATGAGTAAAGATATTGTGCTATATACATTATGAAACACTATTCAGTCTTAATAAGAGAATTCTGTCACTTACAGAATGCATGAACCTGAGGGACACCATGCTAAGTAAAAGAGCCCAGTCACAAAAGGACAACTACTTATGACCTCACTTGTATGTGGAGTCTAAAAAACGTAGACTCATAGAAATGAGTAAAATGGTGCTAACCAAAGGCTGGGGGAGGGGAGAAGATTAGGGAGATATGGGTCAAAGGACATAAAATCTTAATTAGGAGGAATCCGCTTAGATCTATTGTATGCCATGGTGACTACAGTTAATGGCAATATATTGTACTTAAAAATTTTGTTGAAAGAAAAGATTTTTAAGTGTTGTAACTACAAAACAAACAACTCTCCAAAAATACATGTGGTAAGGTATATGTTAAACAGCTTTAATTTAGCTATTCTATGATGTATACATGTATCAAAGTATGTTGTACGTCAGAAGTATAAGCAATTTTTACTTGTCAAATAAAGAAAATTTTAGAGAGGTAGGAAGCAGAAAGCGACCCTCCTATAGTGAAATCTTGGAGAGACGCTGGAGACACACTTTGCAGGCATAATCACCGAGAAAAGGCATAACTTTGACTCCTCCACATCTCCAGCCGGCGCAGAGAATCTCCACTTCACGCTAAACGGAGAACCGAGGAGGCCCCCGGGCCGCCAGTGGCCGGCGCCCATATGGCTTGGGAAGACGCGGACCAGGTGAGCTTCGCGGTACCGCGGTTCCCCCACAGACAAGCCTGGGCCAGAGCAGCATAGCCCCCTGGACAGACTGACCTCCACCCGGGAAAAAAAGAGAAACTGAGTACTAAGCAATAAGAACAGTTAAGACACGCTGGAAAGAGGGTGGAGCGCCCTGAGCGCTGAAGATTGGGGGAAGGGAATCCTTCCCGGGACTCTAAATAAACGAGGGCGGCCGGAGAGGCTCTGGGGGAGCGGGGCGCGCCAGCAACCAGGAGCGGGGAAGCTTGTGAGAGGAGGGAAGACCCACTTCCCACGTGAACTGTAAATAAACACGCAGGCCTGACAACGCGGGGCAGTGGCACCTTTCCCAGTGCTTGGAAAGGGGAAAGCCTGTAGCAGAGGCCCGCACAGGAAACTCTGAGCAAACAAAGCCTGTGGGACCAGGTGAGTGCTAAGCTCACCCCAGAGATCTGCATAAATAACGCCAGCTACAGGCTGAGAGCAGCAGGCAGGCAAGCCACAGTTGCAGATACCACTCTCAGAACTGCCTCCAGACGCTTTTTTTTCTTTTTCTCCCTACCTTTGATGAGAGAACAACCGAATTACACCTGCAAGCCGAAAAACTTACTGAAACTGTATTGCATTTGAACTGGGGACACTTGGTGGGGCTTTTTTTTTTTTTTCTGTGTGTGTGTGTATGTGAGTGTAGTTTTGTTCTACTTTATGCATCCCCTTTGATGAGACAACTACAGAACAACATCTGAGGCACCAACTCCAGGATGGAGATTGAGACGGACATCCAAATTATTAAGACTGAAATTGCATTGCATATAAACTTGGAAGTTTTTTGGTTTTTTGGTTTTTTTTTTTTTTAATTTTCTATTTTCCATTTTATTTTAATTCATTTTTATAAATAGATATTACTTTCATATACTTATTTTTTATTTTTTTATCTTTGATTTTCAATCCTCTCTCTGTCACTCTATTGTCTGTTCAGCTTACTGTCGATTAGTACACTAACACTCCCTGTTTATACCTTTGAAACTCTCTTGTCTGATACCTTGTTCTGCTTTTCCCTCTTGTCTGTATATTTGTTTTCCCCTTTTCTTTAACTTCTTGCTTTCCATCTCAGCTCACTCTTCCATTCTCAATATTACCATTGTTATTATTACAAGCTAGAAAATACTTAATTACACACAGTACAGGGACAGTAACAACACCAAGGACAATGACAGGAAGACAGAAAAAACAAGGAAACCAGTTTCCCCACAGCAAAAAATTAGTACAGGAACCAGAGGGGAATGAAGAGAACAGAAACTCAGATCCAGACTCCAACAAAATGAAGATAAACTATGCCAAAGGACCCAATGAAGCCACAAGAATAATTTAAAAGAAGACATACTACAAGTACTCAATGAGAATTTTATAGAGATGATACTGGATAGGGTCAACCAAAATGTACAGGAGACACTCAAGAAATTCCAAGACAATAAAAATAGAGAATTTGAAAAAGCAAAAGAAGAAATAAAGGAAACCATAGAAGCACTGTATAAACACCAAAGTGAAAGAGAGAACACAATGAATAAATGGATAAATGAACTCAGGACAAAAATAGACAACAATAAAGAAGAAAACAGCCAGGATATGGAAAACCTCAGAAAAAAGAACGAAACAGAACTGCAAAACAAAACGGAAGGCCAATCCAGCAGAATAGAACAAACAGAAGACAGAATCTCAGAACTTGAAGATGAAATGGTAATTAAAGGAAAAACTGAAGAACTATTAATTAAACAACTCAAGACCTGTGAAAAGAAAATGCAAGAACTCACTGACTCCATCAAAAGACCAAACTTGAGAATCATGGGCATCGAAGAAGGAGAAGAGGTGCAAGCGAAGGGAATGCGTAATATATTCAACAAAATAATAACGGAAAATTTCCCAAATCTAGAGAAAGATATTCCCATACAATGCAAGAGGCCTCCAGGACACCAAACAGACCAGATCAAAATAGAACTACTCCACGACATATCATCATTAAAACAACAAGTTCAGAAACTAAGGAAAGAATATTGAAGGCTGCAAGAGAGAAAAAACAAGTAACATACAAAGGTAAACCCATCAAAATCACAGCAGACTTCTCAACAGAAACATTAAAAGCAAGAAGAGCGTGGGGTGAGATCTTCCGGGCACTGAATGAAAATAACTTCAACCCCAGGATACTCTACCCAGCAAAGCTATCATTCAAAATAGATGGAGCAATAAAAGTCTTCCATGATAAGCAGAAACTAAAACAATATGTGACCACAAAGCCACCATTACAAAAGATTCTGCAAGGGATCCTGCACACAGAAAGTGACACCCAACTTAACCATGAAAAGGCAGGCAGCACCAAACCACAGGATAAGAAAAAGCAAGACAGTAGAGAGTAACATCAAGTTAGGTACACACAATCAAACCTTCAAACAACTAAGATAACTAAATGGCAGGAATCACCACATACCTATCAGTACTAACACTTAATGTTAATGGACTTAATTCACCCATCAAAAGACACCGTTTGACAAAATGGATTAAAAAGAAGATCCAACAATTTGTTGCTTACAGGAGACTCATCTCACCGACAGAAA